GCCTGTGCTTTGTGAATGCTTCCCGAGGCTTCTGACGGGGGAGCTGACAGCCAGCGCCCTCCTCTGCCCCCTTCAAGAGGCTCCTCTCTTGCGTCATTTCCAAAATGACGGGCAGGACTTTTCCCCCGTAGTTTCTGCAATGGCTGGAAAACGCTTATTCTTACAAATACAAATACCAAGTCTCAAGTGGACAAACTATTAAGAAATACAGTAGCTCTCAAAGCCTGGGTGAACAGTGCTTGTCTTGTACCGTTTCCCATGCCTCATGAAGGGGGTGTACTGGCTGGAAGGCTATTTCATTTACCCTTCTATGAAAAACACCGGTTCCGATGCACGACACAAGAACTGCTGTTGAGGACAATGAAGTCAGGAGAGCAGACACCAAGAGAGCCGTCACCCTACGCTCTCCTGAGGAAAATGCTCCTTCTGTTCCACCTGAGTCCGCTAACAATGAAATCAGCTGCGGGACAGCCAGTCCCCACACTGGGTGCTGACACCAACTCCTGGGGCCCCTCTGCCCGTGTGGGAGACTCAGATGAACCTCCAGGCTCCTGGCTTCAGATCAGATCAGATCAGCTCTAGCTGTTTCAGCCATTGGAGGAGCGAACCAGCAGGTGGAAGACCTCTCTTTCCCTGTAACTCTGCCTTTAAAATTAATAAATAAATCTTTAAAGACAATGCAGTTTTAGACTTCTGATTCTCTGTCATTTCTGGGAGTGCTTAATCTATTCAGTCTTAAAACTCTCAGAAGTTGTGTAAACTGGTGTTTTATGTTTACACAATAGTTTTTTTAAAAGGTCACTTTTATACTTCTTCATTTTTGCAGAGACATAATATATACACAAATATACACAAGCGATGCCTGGGGAGCCGGGACATTTCTGACCTACATTTTCAGGGTCGTAGGATCCTGGTACTTCTGATAGGAATCGACGGCACACCAGTTCCGCCTCTTCCAGAAAGCTGGTGTCATTTTATCTAGGCGTTTACTCTGGGTTTTACTGCAGAACACAAATTCCCTCAAGCGTCTTTTTCTTGCAGTGATCTTTTTCCATAATTTTTTTTTAAGGATTTTATTTATTTTTATTTGACAGGCAAAGTTAGACAGGGAGAGGGAGACAGAGAGAGAAAGGTCTTTCTTCCATTGGTTCTCTCCAAATGGCCACAATGGCCAGAACTGAGCTGATCCGAAGCCAGGAGCCAGGAGCTTCTTCCGGGTCTCCCACGTGGGTGCAGGGGCCCAAGGACTTGGGCCATCTTCCACTGCTTTCCCAGGCCAGAGCAGAGAGCTGGATTGGAAAAGGGGCAGCTGAGACTAGAACCGGTGCTGCACCCATATGGGATGCTGGTGCCATAGGCGGAGGACTAACCTACTGCGCCATGGCACTGGCCCGCATAATTTCTTCTTGCAACCAGACTTTCTGATTTAGCCGAAGGCCGAAGGCCAGAGTGAAGTCTAGGAAACCTGTGGATGACTGCTCTCAGTTTTTCTCTTGCCTTTTCGTGAACTGAAGTATATGACCGTTCTGACCGGCAGCTTCAGGACACTTGGAAGCAAGGGAGCCCCTCTGTCCGGAATGGCTGTAGGATGCCCACATGTTAAGGTTTGCAACAGAGGACTCTGTTTCCGACAGTCTGAATGTGGACAGTGCAGGAAGAAGACAGGCACTCTTGGCACAGTTTTGATACATTGGAGATGCCAAAACATCCAGGGGCCGTAAGATTCCTGACGCAGCTCTCAGGATACTGGCAATAGCAAAAGCTGCCATCACGTCACACTCGCCTGGGCAGCCACAGTTAGGATCTTCATGTTTATAGGTGCAACAGCCGGAGCTAAGCCAATCCAAAGCCGGGAGCCAGTAGTTTCCTCCAGGTCTCCCATATGTGTGCCGGGGCCCAAGGACTTGGGCCATCCTTTGCTGCTTTCCCAGGTGCATTAGCAGGGAGCTGGATCATAAGTGGAACAGCCAAGACTTGAACCAGCGCCCATATGGGATGCTGGTGCTGCAGTCCGGGGCTTTAACCCGCTGCACCACAGCGCCGGCCCCCTGTCAGTTCTTAATACTACTGAGAAAGCATATTTCAAAATAAGTCCTGTTCCTCATTCTCTGTGTGTTTTGTATTTAAATATGCATTTTGCAGGACCTCTAAGTGAATATTTAACCTAAGGTAAGAACAAAGATTAATCTTAAAGGTACATGGTCCACCCAAGTGTTTTTATGAGCCCTGAAATGTACTGTGCAAAAAGGACACGCTTCATTTGGAAAATTAATTGCATACTATTACTAGCAATACTACAGTTATTTCCCTCAGTCGTTGATAAAATAATCCAAGTGTAACTGATAAGTAGCTAAGTTGGAAATAAAGATAATCGGGCCCAGTGCTGTGGCACAGTGGGGTAAGCCTCCGCCTGCAACGCTGGCATCTTGTATGGGCACTGGTTGGAGACCCAGCTGCTCCACTTCCGATCAGCTCTCTGCTATGGCCTGGGAAAGCAGCAGAAGATGGCCCAGGTGCTTGGGCCCCTGCTCCCACGTGGGAGACCTGGAGGAAACTCTGGGCTCCTGGCTTCACCTGGGCCTAGCTCTAGCTGTTGCTGTACTTTTGGGGGTGAACCAACAGATGGAAGAGTTCGCTCTCTGCCTTTCAGGTAAATAAAAAATAAATCTTTATAAAAAAGAAACAAAGATCATATTATGTGGGAATGACTCCAGTGCTTTCAAATATTTCATACAAGAGGAGCAGCGCTGAGACACAGTGGTTTAGGCCACCACCTGTGACACCAGCATTCCATAGCAGAGTGCTAGTTTGAGTCCCAGCTACTGGCTGCTGATCCAGCCCCATGCTGATGTGCCTGGGGAAGCAGTGGATGATGGTCCAAGTTCTTCGGTCTCAGCCACTTAAGTGAGAGACCTGGATGGATGGAGTCTGGTCTGGCTGTTGTGACCATCTGAAGAGTGGACCAGTATGTGAATTTGTCTCTCTGTCTCTCCCTCCCTCTCCATCACTCTGCCTTTCAAATGAATAAATAAATCCTTAAATAAAAAATATATTTATACACATATATTATATATACGAGTAAGTTATGCTAACTCCCTGCAAAGTGCTGTCCATGCATCTCCAAGTCCTCTGCCAGTAGTTACTCTTGAAACCACACCAACCAGGTGTTTTCCCTCATTCTCTCCTCGAAGTGTTCTTGTGAGTACCAATGGCCTTGGTAGCACAGGAGGTTACTTTAATTGTCCTATTTTATGAGCAGTCACTGCTGCTAACCTCTTACTGTGCCTAATTCATAAATTAAATGTCATCATAGGTATTACGGATAGGAAAAACACAGACTCCTGTATGTAGGGTTTGGTTCTGTGTTTTCAAGCATCTACTGGGTACTTGGTACACAGTCCCCAGAGACAAATGGGGGCTGCTGTGCCTCTACCACGACTACCTGTTCTATGTCACCATCATCTCTCACTTGGATCAGTGCACCCACCTCCTAACTGGTCTCCCAGCTTCCATCCTTGCCCTCATAGTCCACTCTGAACAGAGTAGCCTCGGTGATTGTTGAAAAACATCAAGCCAGGGTCCCTCACCCCTCTGAACAACACCCTCCAACCACCTCCTACTACTATACTCAGTGTACAAAGCTCCCTCCCTCCCTCTGCTGCTCCTCCAACAAGACGGGGGATTTCTGGGCTTCTGCACCTGCCCACTGTGTTCTTCCCTGGGAGCTGCCCCGCTGTCCCATGTTCCCTCGGTTCTGCTCAGCGGTGTTCTCCACGGCAAGGTTCCTCAGGTTAGAAGTGTGCCTGTTCCCTCCCGGTACTTCCTGTGCCAGTTCACTCCTCCATCTTTCTTCTTAGTAACTGTCACCATCTGACTGGATATGTTTTGATTGATTTTTTAAAAAAACAAGATTTATATGTTTAGTTGAAAAGTGGAGCAACAGAGAGGGAGGGAGACACACAGAGAGATCTTCCACCAGCTGGTTCACTCCCCAAATGGCCACAATAGCCAGATCTGGGCCAGACTAAAGCCAAGTGTGGAACTCCATCTGGATCCCCCACATGGGTGACAGGGGCCCAGGGACTTGTTCCATCTCCTGTTGCCTTCTCAGGCATATTAGCAGCGAGCTGGATCAGAAGCAGAGCCAAGACTTGAACCAGCACTCAGACATGGGATGATGGCTTTGCAAGCAAGGCTTAACCCACTGTACCAATGCCAGGTGGTGATTCGATTTTTTTTAAAAGTTATTCTGTTTACTGCCCCCACCTCCATCACCTCCAGCGAAATGAGGACGACTCTGTTTGGCTCACTCTTACAATCCCAGTGTTCAGGGCAGCGCCTGGTTACAGAAGGAAGTCAACGTAAATCTGCTATATAAATGCTGACCTATGCAAATAAAGAAATCCTGACAGTACTAAGAGATCTGGGACACTCTAACAGCCAACAATGGGAAATAAAACTTCCATCCTAACAATGATGGAACTCTGCAAATCCTGTACCTCCCACAGTATGTTACTCAATCTACTCTAAATAACAGGCTACCAACTCTCGTCCTTGCTCTTCACCTCACAGCCTCTCCCCACTGCCCTTCCTAAACCCTGAAAATAGCAACTTACTCTCGCTGAAACATCTCCCACCCCCTCTGATGCTGCTATCCTAAGACTGAAAAGGCAGGAGGGAGCTTGTTACAACGGTAAGAAATCACACGGTGTTGGAAAGCCATGTACGCTGTTCACATCCAAACTCATCTCTATTTCGAATCCAACATACCGAGCAGTGAGGGCTATATTAATCTCTATAACCCCTAATGAGGGAAGTTTTATTAGACTCCCGTTAAACTGGGGAGGAGCTGGAACGTGTACAGCCGCAACCATAAACCTTGAAAGACGTCGTTCAGGCTATAAATCACACACACACACACACACACACACAGCCCGGAGAACACGAACACGTGTGCACAGGCAACAGTCGCAAGCAGCCGAGGCTCAGCTCTCACTCACCCTCCGCCAGCCGTCAAGTCTCGGACAAGTTGCACTCTCCTTGCCTCAGTTTCCCTCTCTGCAAAACAGAAACGGCGGCTGAGGGCTGCTGTCGGGATGCAGTAAAGGTCCCCGGGGCTGTCAGTACTGGTGTACACGCTGAGCACCCCTAAACCACAACCCCCTGAGGGTGTGCGAGCAGAGACACGGGGCGCCACAGCCGCAAAACTCCACGCCTGACGCCACGTCCCGCCGCAGTCAAAACGCGGGCACGCCACAAAGACCTTCGGGCTCTGTGCACAGGGGCTGCACGGAACACAAACGCATTGCAGTGCTCAGCCCAGGGTCCCCTCCCCGGGATGCCGCAGCCTGCGTAGCAAATATTCCACACTCCGCACACACTTCTGGCCCCCAGCTCTCCGGATAAGGCACACTCGGCCTGTAATGTTAACACGATCCCCCCCGTCGACCACTACCCCGGGGTGTCAACGCGAACCCGCGCGGGCCGCCTTCCGGCCCGCACCACCACCACTCGGCCGCGCCTCGGCTTCCCCGGCCTCAGCGCAAGGTGCGAGACCCAGGCGCCCGCGCCCCGCAGGCCCCTCTGCCAGGCCCAGGACCCGGGCTCTCCGGGCCTTCGGGGCCAGCCGCGGAGGCAGCAGTGGCTCCTGCCCAGGCGCTGCCCGTGGGGCCCGGCCCAGGTACCTGCGACTCGGACGAGCAACAGCGGCGACAGCGGCAGCACCTTGGCCGTGACGGAGGCCGGCGGAGGAGGGGACCGGCCAGCCACAGAGGCAGGACGAGCCCCCTCCGCTGGACCAGAGCGGCCTCGCGCCGCCGCGGCGGGCGCGCCCCCTGCAGGTGGGAGGCCCGCACAGCCGCTGGGCACTTCCTGGGTCCGAGACACACAGGTGAGCCCTCTCTGTAGGTCGGATTCTGAAAGGAAAGGCGTTGCCTTCCTCCATCTGCGTCCTGGACGTTCTGCACTTTTCACAGCCCTTTCTGGATATGCATCCCAACCCCTCGGCTAAATGGAGGCCTCAAGGGCAAGGACGGTTTTATTAGTTTGCTATTAAGCATCAATTAATCATAGTTGCTCACTGCTACGGTGGAACTACAGAACCCAAGTGACCTCACCTTAACCCATAACCCTGAGTTTTAAATTTTACAAAAATATGGGGTTTTTTTTGAGTGATTTACATTCCGCTTTGTAGGATTCCTTGCCTTTTTGCAACATGTGCTCAAAGCTAACAATGGGGAAGTTCGTTTACTGAGACCTCCCCCCCCCCCCATACCTTTTCTTAGCTTATCAGCTCCCACCCTGCAGCCAGGGTGATGACCCCTGCATGGTAACAGTCTCTCCTCTGGATTCTGGCACCCATCCATTCAAGGGCCATCCACCCAGGCTGAGAGCTTGTTATCGATGATGTCATGTCTATGATTAGGGTTACTGTCAAATCTAAGGAATGCATGACCACATTTCTTCTGTATAACAATTGGGAGATCCCAGGATATTTCACATTTTCTTGTGCAGTAACTAATCAAACATTACTCTTTGGATTGATGACATTTATTAGCCAATTTGTCATTGATGTCTTCCAAAGGATCATGTATTGAGTTTTTATCGCCTCCAAGGATGCATGAAAATTATGTCAAATCAGCAAGGCAATTAAGCCTTGTCCTAGTGTTCACCTGAGGGCCTGTCCACTACTTGTATTCAAGCTCACCTCTCTCATGAATTGCTTCATTTTGTTCAATCTGCAAAATTTAGCTTTTATTCATCTGATGAGATTAAGGGGATGAGCTGCAAGCCAAGCGTGTTCTATGACTCCTTGGCGTCACCACACCTGGGGACTCTGACACATTAGCTGTTAGGAGCCTGCACGGAAGCTCTTCCTAGACTCCAGCAATAACTGACTGCTGCATGACAGTGACCATGAGCTACGTGAGTAGATCCCACTAAATGCAAACCAAAGTATACCCAGTGTATTCCTGTTTGGCCAGAACCCCAAAATGCTTGATCCAGGGAAGAGTACCTTGAGGGGCTGGCACTGTGGCGCAGCGGGTTAATGCCCTGGCCTGAAGTGCTGGCATCCCTATGGGCACCGGTTTGAGACCTGGCTGCTCCACTTCTGATCCAGCTCTCTGCTGTGGCCTGGGAAAGCAGTAGAGGATGGCCCAAGTGCTTGGGCCCCTGCACCCATGTGGGAGACCTGGAAGAAGCTCCTGCTTTTGGCTTAACATAACTCTGGCCATTGTGGCCAAATGGGGGTGAACCAGCGGGTGGAAAACTCTCTCTCTCTCTCTCTCTCTCTCTCTGCCTCTCCTCTCTCTTTGTAACTCTGACTTTCAAGTAAATAAATAAATCTTAAAAAAAAAAAAGAGTACCTTGAAAAGTCTGAGTAGGAAGAGGCGGCAGTCTCAGTCATTGTAGCTAAAATAGTCTAAGTTTGCAAGATTTACAAAAGCGTATGACCATGGGACATCATCTCCCGAGTCCCTCCTGGGGTCTTAGGAGGCGCCATGCAAGGGAAGCCTCCCTGAGGGTCTTCAGAACATCTCTGGAATACGAACTCCAACTCCAGTGAACTCCAACGCCAGCGAGGTAGCATCTTTTCTCCTCTCTGACATGCCTATGTCCTCGCATCTTCCCTAACTTTGACTTTCCTGCCTCCTTATAAGGACCCTTGTGTTTAAATGGCGCACAAGTCAATCATCTAGAATAATCTCTCCATCTCAAGATCTATGGCTTGATCGCACAACATACAAGTCACCATATTCATAGGTTCTGGGGATTAGGACATGGACATCTTTGGGGGATTATTCTTCAACCTGACAGAAGACTTTTTTTTTTTTTAAGATTTATTTTATTTGGAAGACAGTTACAGAGCGAAGTAGAGACAGAGAAAGAGAGGTCTTGCATCTACTGGTCCACTCCCCAAATAGACACAATGGCTGGAGCTGAGCAAATCTGAAGCCAGGAGCTTCTTCCAGGAAGGACTTGGGCCATCCTCCACTGCTTTCCCAGGCCATTAGCAGGAAGCTGGATCAGAAGTGGAGCAGCCAGGACTCGAACAGGTGCCCATATGGGATGCTGGCTTTGCAGGTTGGGTCTTTAACCTGCTGTGCCACAGCACCAGCCCTGACATAAGATTTCTTAAATTTTCAACTTCATTGTTTTCAGGTAAAGCGGCTCTTCCTCCTCATTACCATTACTTAGTGGTTCTCAACCCTGGCAGCATGTGACAGTCACCTAGGAACTTCAAACCCCCATGCATGACCAAGATCAAGTACAGACGGTTCTGCAGCAGGGCCCAGCCATCTGCACGTTTTAAAGCTGCCTAGACACTTCTAATGCGCAGCCAAGGTTGAGTTGAGCACTAGATATTAGATACGACTGAGTGAGTAAATGGATGGAAGAAAACATCTGCTTCGGGTAGGATTTTCATTTAGGGAATTTTCTTGTTAGGGGAAAGAAGAGTAGTTGTATTGGTTGTGTTGCTGTACAGTCTTAGAAAACACAGATTTCAAACACATTGTACCTGAGCACTTAGCAGAGGCTCAAAGTGCTCTAGCAGCCACCCTGGTGTTGTCCATTGCGTGTGTAGAAGAGACATTGTCGGAAGGGGGGGTGTCTTTTAAAATGCACCGTACTTGTAAAGCAAGGATTCTTCTTGCTTTTTAAGATCTTTCTGTTCGCCAGGTGCACTTTGGTTTTGCTGTAGTACTAACAACTGGCCGTGAGAGGGCGCCATGCTCCTGGGAGGTGCTGCCTCAAGGGGTTTCCCTCCTCTCAGCAGGCTGGCAGGAATCAGGTGTTTTGCGTAACAGGGGTCTTCAAGCATAACCCCTGGGTGAGTAAGCCACAGGATGTGAGACCAGTGCGTGTTGCTGTGAGCCACAGATAAACCACCAGGAAAGCCTTCCTTGCTGATGGCAGGAGGAAAATATTATTCTCCCTGGCCTTGCACAGTTTGGGGGAAAATTTGATGCCTAGGAGAATACTATTTGTCATCTGCAGAATGAGTTGTGAGAGCCCCTGTGTGGGCTGCACCCATTGTTCTACTTGCCTAAGTTGGGAACTACATTTCCCAGAATCCCTTCTTTCGGGTTCCAGTTTAGAATTTACTCAGATCCCTGCATTTGATGCAAAAAGCACAACTGGAAAATATTCAAGGAGACCTTTCAGAAGGGAGTCTCTCACCCTGTGCTAACTGCCAAGGAAACCTCTTAGTCCTTGAATTTCTGGAGTTGCTGAGAAAACAGCTGGAACCCAAGAAAGCGGAAGTGAGCTTGGCTCCATGATGCAACGGCCATGCGTTGTTTCTTTTTGCACCGAGCCCTGCATGCTGGAAGCCTGCAGATTTTCACAGAGATGTCAGATGAAGTCATGTATGTGACAGGGGTGCATACAGTTCCTCGGCCCAATTAACCTTTCCTTCCAAAACTAAGTAGCTGACTGCTTAGTAAGGGACTGCTTTTTGCAAAGGTCTAAGCAAATGCTGTGCATTGTGGGAAATGCCAGCCTGGGTCGGGGAGCAGGAGAGTGTGGGTCACAGGATACCAGATGTATTGCAGAAACTCTACCTTACACGGTAGTCACGGGAGCCCAGGAAGGTGATGTTTGGATGAAGATGTCGGATGATCAAAGCCACGAACACGTTTGTCTGAGGGTTCTGTGAAGTCCACGTGGGGTCGGGGGAGAGGTCAGTGGAAGCGTGGCCTCTGTGGACAAGTGCTTCTGGGAGTCCTTCTCCAGGCATGCGGCAGTGGCCCCGGGGTTGTGGTGGTCAGGGCCAGTAGGGGTCAAGGACAAGCTGGCGTCTGCCAGGCCCCTCTGCGTCCACCTGTTACTCTGTGCAAAGACCTCCAGAAAGCAACAGCCATTCCCTTCCTCGGCCTCCCAGCTTTCATGCAAGGTTCCCCTTGGGTTAATTCTCAACTGGAACCATACAGGAGAGGGGGCTTCTGGGAAATGTAGTTCCCAACTTGGACAAGTAGAACACAGAATAACTGGTTCAGCCCACACATGGCTCCTACAGGTGATTTTGTGGAGGGGAAGCTGGGGAGGGGGAGGAATGGTGGGGCAGGGTGGGGTGGGGGACCTGGAGGCAGGTAGCCTGCCTAGACCAAGCCTACATGGAGAGCTTAAGGCAGAAGCTAGCTCAGAATTCAGGTCAGGGGATAGTGAGAGTCCCCGGGAGCCTCTTCCACCCACTTTAGAAAGTGTAGAAAAATGTCATGCGTCACTCTTGGGTCGCCTCCCTGGGCGAAGACTCTGTGGCCATCGCTTGGCGTCAGCTGCCTTGATGGCATCATCTCTGGGCTTGGGGTTGCAGGTGAGGAGGTATGCCTGAGCTCTCCAGGCCCCCAGCTAACTGGCCAAGGAGATCTGGGCTATTAGGTAGTTGAAAGTAGAATCCTACTGGGACTGTAGGATGCATGAGAACTTGGATTCCAAAGCTGCTAAGAAATGACCTCCCTAAAAACACTGTCATCAAAAGTGTCCATGAAAACTCACCTAAGGGCCTGTGATAGGTTGATATGCTCATATGTGGTCATGAACTTTATTCTTCAAAATAAGCACCAGAAACTCTGCAAGTCAATAAGTTGATAAATACCTTCCTGAGACAGGTAAGGAAAGAGAAAAGGTAACACCAGCAAAACCCATAGCCCGGGACTGCCCGGCCTTGTCCTCCATTCCTTTAAGGCCCCGGGTTTCCTTTCTCACTCTTCAGTATTCCACGCTAGTGCAGGGCTGTTAAGTCTCAGTAAAGGAGAAGCTAAGAGTTCATGCTGGTACCAGAAGGCCCCGGGGATGTCTGTTTGGTCCAGATAATGGGCAGCTTAGAAGATTCCAGCAGTCTGTGTTGTGACAGAGTTCACTTCAACTCCAGAATGGAGCTTAGCTCCCTTCAGGGATTCCAACTGAACTGAACTGAACTTGCTGGCTTAGAGAGATCTTAACCCTCACAGCGATCTGAAAATAAACCCCGGAATCATTCCGACAAAAGCGAAGCACATCTCCTCCGGAACTCTACCAGAGCTCTCCCAAGAAGTGCTCCCTGTGGTTTCATTTCCACTTGTAGAAAATTGTGATGTCTGTGTCAGAGCAAAGCCCTGAGCCATTCTACTCCAGCTATGGAGGACATACCCATCCTATATCCTACGTATCTGACAACTGCTTTCGGCAGCTAGAACTGGACGAACCCACCTTTTGAAGTGAAGCTCTTATTATAAGTCATTTATCTTGCTATAACAAATATCACAGACTGGGTAACTGATACATGGAAATTCACTGCTCACAGTTCTGGAGGCTGGCAAGTCCAAGTTCAAGGTGTAGACAGAGTCAGTGCCTGGAGAAGGCGGCTCTCTGCTTCCAAGACGCTGCCTTCCTGCATCCATTTTCTATTTTACAATCATTTTGGCCACTAAAGCTTGGAACCTATTTGGCTTTCCACAAATTGTGATCAATTAGTGCCTCTAGCTTTTACTTTGCACGACCTAATGTAATTTCTGGCTGAAACGTCTGGCATAAAATTCACTTAATTGTCCACATGGGATGTGTGTGAGCTGTATGCTTGCCACACGCTGACAGTGGTCCAAGACCAGCGGTGGGGGACACCAGCTCTCTGAGAAGAGCCCGCACACAGCCTTCTCTCCCCAAGGGGCTCAGCAGCAGGGCCTGCCCGCCATTTGTATCTGCTCTGCTGTTCTGCTCATTTTCTATTTTTACAAAATTTTCAAGCTCAAGTGTGTGAGCTGTCTTGACAGTGAAAATACCGAGCAGGCCTAGAAGTGGAGAGAAGCAACGCTGGTGGGTGCAGATGGGTCAGGAGGGAATGTGGTGACCGGGAACCCTGTGTGCTCATTCCCACTGCCATGCCACACCTGGCTGAGGAGTTATTGGAAGGTCAGCATGCTGGCCTGCCTGACAAAGGTCCCGTGCCCACCAATGTCTTCCCCAGGGCTGGGTGACTGTGCTGGCAGGAGGGGGCCGTCACTGCCAGCGCCAAAGGAGGGGTCTCGCTTGCCATCTCCCCCTGGGGCTCGCATCAGGGAAGGGCACCCTGGCTGCGGAAGTTCAGACTTTTCACCCAATGGTCAAGTGTTTTGATCGAAAAGTGATTCAAACTCCCAAACTCGTTGTAGATAAATAGATCCATAACTAAGGATTGTGTGATTTTTCACAAGTTTTTGAACTGTGTTTTCTCCTATCCCAGGCTTTCATTCTTCACAGTATGTACTGTGGAGTGGACATTAACTTTGTGTTTTTCTTATATACTCATATAAGATCATCTCAATGCTTCTGTGAAAAAAAGCTATTAATTACAAAGTTTGTTTTTCCACCCACAAATAAGGGACAAATTGCTTTACCCATACTATGAAGATTTTGCTTTAGTATAGGCAAACAAGAGGGTACTTTAAAACATTCATGGCAAGTGGATTTAAAAGGTAAGTTTATTTTGGTGCAGAAAAATATTTTGAAATCTATCCATATGAGGGTTCTTGAAAAAGCACATGGATGGGACCAGCACTGTGGTATAGTGGGTAAAGTCTCTGCCTGCAGCGCGCTGGCATCCCACATGAGTGCCAGTTCGAGTCCTGGCTGCTCCACTTCCAATCCAGCTCTCTGCTATGGCCTGAGAAAGCAGTGGAAGATGGCCCAAGTCCTTGAAAGAAGCTCCTGGCTCCTAGCTTTGGGTTAGCCTAGCTCTGGCTGTTGTGGCCATTTGGGAAGTGAACCAGTGGATGAAGATCCTCTCTCCCCCCACCTGCCTCTGTGTAGCTCTTTCAAATAAATAAATAAATAAATCTTTTTTTAAAAAAAAGGCACATGGAAAATGTGTATTATGAACAAAACTGCATGGACTAAACATTTTTTATGCCCCCATTTTTTCCCTCCATGTCCATGAAATGTTGAAGTAGCATCTCCTACTGATCCCTCTGACTTCTCAGCTCTGTCTCCCAGTGACTCCCTCAACCTCAAACACCGCTTGTCCACAGCAGGTGTCTCATTCTCTCATCAGCAGCCTTGTCCTCCCATCCTGACCACGCTCCCCTTTTTCTAGTTGCCCCTCCTCTGCCCCCTTGTCTCCACTCTTTTCAAAGTCTCTCTTCCCTCCAGGGCTTTCCTGGGGGTTGCCCTACTTCCCCCAGCTCACAGGTTCACACTGTACTCCTGAGGCTGACTACATGTTGCACAGGGTTACTCGCTGATTGGTGGCACTGAATGACCTTGACCTTTTTTTTTTTTTTGACAGGCAGAGTGGACAGTGAGAGAGAGAGACAGAGAGAAAGGTCTTCCTTTTTGCCGTTGGTTCACCCTCCAATGGCTGCCACAGCTGGCGCGCTACAGCCGGCGCACCGCGCTGATCAGATGGCAGGAGCCAGGTACTTATCCTGGTCTCCTATGGGGTGCAGGGCTCAAGTTCTTGGGCCATCCTCCACTGCACTCCCTGGCCACAGCAGAGAGCTGGCCTGGAAGAGGGGCAACTGGGACAGAATCCGGTGCCCCGACCGGGACTAGAACCCAGTGTGCCGGCGCCGCAAGGCGGAGGATTAGCCTAGTGAGCCGCGGCGCCTGCCACTGAATGACCTTTGATCTTCAAAGATGGCAGTCACATATGGATTGAGTTAATATATGCATCCTCTTACCCCAAACACAAATCCTCTGTGTGTTCCAGCGTCTGCTGTCACTCCTTACGTTGCTATTTTGGGCCTTTGCTATTTATTGAAAGACCTTGACTACTCAGAAATTGGCAAAATATAGGTAAGCTTCCATTTTCATTTGAAAATGATCTTAATCCATTAATATGCTCACTACGGGTAATTTGGGATATTTGTGACTCCCTCTGCAAAAGTATTCTAGTACAGCCTAAAACATTAACACAAAACTTTAAGGTGCTGGAAGTTATGGCTATAGGCATCGATTTATAAATAGTATAGGGTTTTCATAGATGCTATATTTCAAAAATACTATTTATAGGATTATCAGTAAATTCTACATTTATTAAAATATATTTTATATTTTAATAGAAAAGAACATTAGAATATTGTGCTTTTTCTATTACATAGGTTCCTCTGTCCCTCTCCCTTATTGTGGTCTTAATTCTGTATATAATTATTTTAATTTCTGTGAGGTACACTGGATATGGAAAAATATGGTGAGAAATTACATATATTTTTAAAGTTAACAGACCTATATAGGTATCTGATATCAAGTACAGAGGCTTACCACTGTCCAGGAAAAAAAAGTAGCATGAAGACTGCTAAACCGAATCTGGCGTTGTAAGGACGGAACACACTTACAGCAGGGCAGCTTGTTACCTGGAGTGTGTCCATGATGGCAGGCTCCAAGCTTCGTGAGGAAACAAACCAGCATTTTATCACCTTGCTCTGGTTCTGTAGACAGAACAGAGGAGCCCAGCTTTCTTTCTCAATGATTCTACTTCTCAGATGGAGCCGTGTTATCCTCAGCTGATGAGTCATGTCTTTAGAACTTGACCTCTCATGAATTTATAAAATCTCATAATGGGCTTTTCATTTATGTAATATCAGAACCTGTAGAGACTATGAAGCCAGGTAAACATGTATTTTAGGGGGAAACAGAGGGAGCCTCGTATGAGTTGATTTTAGTTTGCCATTTGTCATTTAGGAGCCATTGCAGGAGCGCTAGTCCCCTGTCTCTTTAATGTTCTGATCCACACAGTGCTTTGGCAGTTTTGATGAACATGGTCTACCTTCTCATCAAGAAATTTGAACTTTTCCTGTTTCTGATGATGCCTGTTGTCAATGCCCATTCTTTTACTGTCTTGAGGCAGCCTCAGAGGATATTTTAAAAAGAGCAACTTCTCTTCACAGATCTTCTTCTTTTATGTTCCTAAAAACACAGTCACTTTCAGCTATCTTAACCTTGCTTTTTCTTAGCAGAAAGCTGGTATAGTCTTTATGCTGCAACGTAAACAGAGAGGTCAGAAACGTAAGTGAGAAGAAATAACTTCCACGACAATAAAAAGTCAAGGAGGTTAAAATGATATTAAAAGGGAACCAGAAAGGTTATGTTTGTTTAAGCAATGGTTCTCTTAAGCGGTGTTATCCTGTAGATGCTCTATTTTGCAGTAGTACATGAGGAGGGTGCCCCCTGCTGGTTGGCAGAGGTAGATGAGTCCCGAGACTCTGGGCGCTGAGGTGTTTCCCCTCTTGAAGTCATGCTACTTTCAATCTTCAACTCCACTCAAAATCTTTATTGCATGCCCTACACAAATACAAACTTTAGAAAAGTAACACTGGAGCTACACTGTGGACTAGTGGGTAAAGCCACCACCTGCAGTGCCGGCATCCCATATGGGCACCGGTTCGAGTCCCGGTTGCTCCACTTCCAATCCAGCTCTCTGCTATGGCCTGAGAAAGCAGCAGAAGATGGCCCAAGTCCTTGGGCCCCTGCACTCACATGGGAGACCTGGCTCCTGGCTTCAGATCGGCACAGCTCTGGCCGTTGCAGCCATTTAGGTAGTGAACCATCGGATGATAAGGCCTCTCTGTCTCTCCCTCTGTCTGTGTGTGTGTCTGCTTCTGCCTCTCTGTAACTCTTCCTTTCAAATAAATATTTTTTAAAAAGGCATTATGCTGTTTTTAAAGCATTTTAAGGGGGCCAGTATTGTGGCATAGCAGGTTAAGCTGCTGCCTGCGGCACCAGCATCCCATATGAGCACCAAGTCAAGTCCTGGTTGTTCCACTTCTGATCCAGCTTCCTGCTAATGGCCTGTGAGAGCAATAGAAGACGGGCCAAGTGCTTGGGCCTCCAAACCTACGTGGGAGATCTGGATGAAGTTCCTGGCTCCTGACTTCAGCCTGGCCCAGCCCAGCCCTGGGCACTGTGGCAATTTGGGGAGTACACCAGCAGATGGAAGAATTCTCTCTCCCTCTCTCGCCCCCCATCCCTCCTGTAACTCTGCCTTTCAAATAAATAATTTTTTTAAGTAGAAAAGCACTTTAAGAGACAATGATTGGGGCCGGCACTGTGGTGTAGTAGGTAAAGCTGCCGCCTGCAGGGCTGGCATCCTATATAGGCACCAGTTTGGGTCCCAGCTGCTCTATTTCCTATCCAGCTCTCTGTTATGACCTGGGAAAGCAGTAGAAGATGGCCAAGTCCTTGGGCCCCGGCACCCATGTGGGAGACCCTGAAGAAGCTCCTGGCTCCTGGCTTTGGATCAGCTCCACTCCGGCCATTGTGGCCAACTGGGGAGTGAATCAGTAGATGGAAGACCTCTTTCTCTCTCTCTACCTTTCCTTCTCTCTCTGTGTAACTCTTTCAAGTAAATAAATAAATCTTTAAAACAAACAAACAAACAAACAAAAGACAATGATTGGGGCCAGCGCTGTGGCTTAGCAGGCTATGTCTCTGCCTAGAGTGTCAGCATCCCATATGGACACCGGTTCATGTCCCAACTGCTCCTCTTCCAATCCAGCTCTCTGCTAACGGCCTGGGAAAGCAGTGAACCAGCAGATGGAAGCGCTCTCGCTCTCTCTCTCTCTCTCTCCCCCTTCCTCCTTCCCTTCTTCCCTCCCTCCCTCCCTGTCTCTCTGTAACTCTTTCAAATAAATAAATACATTTTTCAAAAAAGAAAAGAACTGCTACTCATCTGGGAGGACCAGTGAGCGCCGGGCGTCGAGCACGGCTGTGCTGTGCTGTCGGCTGTTCTGGGACAGTGCTCTCAATACTGAACGCATACGTATCACACTCGTCTTGTTAAACACACACAGAACAGGGCCCCTTGCCCAGAGCTCCTGATCCCGTAGGTCTGGACCGGAGAGTCTGAATTTCAAGCAAGTCCCCGAGTCATACCGATCCTGCTGGTCCAGGGACCCCACTTCGAGAACCGCTGTTCTGGAAGAAACGGTTCCAGCCTTGGTGGCATATTAGGACCAACTAAGGGAACTGTTAAAAATCCCACTGCCCAGGCCCCTCAGACCACTTAACTCCAAATCCCTGAGGTGGGGCCCAGCCCACTGTATGTTCTAGTATGTTCTAGAGCTTCCAGGGGCTGCAATACACAGCCACCGTTGAGAGCCCCTGCCCGGCGCTGCGAGTGAGCTGGGGAATGGCCATGCTGAATGACGGCATGATTGCTGTCCACATTTTACCAGTGAGTGAAGCTGTGGCAGGCATCCCATGGGGCTCGACACGGATGCCAATTACCAGGCTCCCACCCCACATCTGCAGCACCCATCTCTGGTGGGCAGGCGCAGGCGTCTGCCTTTGAAGAAGCGTGTCAGGAGTCCTGACGCACACACAGGCTCTCTGACCTGCCCGAAGCCACACAGCCACTAATAGGTGGCGTTCCCGTCTCCTGCCTCTGGCAGAACCAGCCAGAAAGGCTTTTATTATGAAAGGGGAATGCTGCATTCACTGGGTTCTTTTCTGAGCTTCTTCACTCAAGACAAGTCCTTCTATATTAACATATGTTTGTCCTGCTCCCTTCTACTACCCATTCCTGGGCAACCCTTGGGCAAACCACTAACCCTCTCTGTGCCCTTGCTCTCAACTGATACACAGGGCTGTGGAGAAGAGGGAGGGTGAATGCGGTAATTCACACAACAGTGCTTAGAATAATGCCGGCAACCTGTGCTCGCCAATAATACCAATGACAACTGCTTTCTCCAGCTGGGATCTGCACAGCAGACCTGAAGGCTCAACTATTAGCAATGTAACAGTTGTTTTGTACAGCAAACAGTGCAGAAGTCCTGTGAAACTAAAATATACGAGATACACCATAGCATGCAAACCATAAAAGAGGGCTTCTAAAACATGCATGGGGTATATATAGACAAACAAGTCATTCAAGAATTTTGTGCTCCTCTTGGAAATTTTCTATGTAAAAATTTCCCTTAGGCCTGCTGGGTGCCACAATAAAATACTGTACTTCTGTGCTGGTCCTCCTGGGAGTCCAAGCTATATAGAGTAGCTTCTAGGGGCTGTGTTGTGGCACAGTAGGTTAGGCCTCCACCTAGAGTGCCGGCATCCCATGTGGGTGCTGGTTCATGTCCAGGCTGTTCCTCTTCCGATCCAGCTCTCTGCTAATGGCCTGGGAAAGCTGTGGGAGATGACCCAAGTCTTTGGGCCCCTGCACCCACGTGGGAGACCCAGAAGCAGCCCCTGACTCCTGATCAGCCCAGTCCTAGCCATTGAGGCCATTTGGGGAGTGAACCAGCAGATGGAAGACCTCTCTCTCTGTTTCTCCCTCTCTCTGTCTAACGCTGCCACTCAAAGAAATAAAATACATCTTTAAAAAAATAGAATAGCTTCTGAAAAACAAAATTCTGGCTGATTTTTTAGAAGAATGACTTGGATTAAAGGGGGAAGAAGGGCAGATTCATCAAAACGATAGTGTATCAATGACATAAATGTACTCACGGACCTGGTTTTGTCGAATGTGGTATTTTTTACTTTTGCCTTGTTCCGGAACTTCAATCTGCTGGATAGATGAGTGAAATGTCAGCACAGCCTACAGAGGCAAGTGCCCAAATGCTCTACTTAATCAGCACATCTCCCGTGCCACGCTAATCCTCTTACTGATCCCGCGGGGCCGCAGGCACACCTGCCTGTCACTGGCGCATTCCCCCCCTTCATTTGCAAGGGTCTAAATCGAGTTCCCAATGTTTAACACGGGCGGTTGCCTGTGGACTTTGTGATTTAACGCGGCTTTGGGACGGACTTCGCACGAAATGCAATGTACTGCTAAATCCCGAAGTAATCCACAGAGCTCCAATCCGTACGCTGAGTGTGAGCCAAAAGCGGGCTTAGTCAGAGGCACCATTAATCAAACAAAGAATCACACTGAAGTTTGAGACACTTGAGTAGAGACCTCTTGGACATGGGTACACTGAATGCACTGGCCAGAGTCCCCGCAGGGAGCAGATGGCACACGACCCGAGGGCACTGGAGGAGACTTTCGAAAAAGGAGCTCTTCAACCCCTGCTTAGGCGCGGTGTGGGCGGGACTGAAGCAAATCAATGACAGGACGTCGGGGCCCTCACGGTGCTAGCACCGGGGGACTGCAAGGCGGGGCACCGGGTTCCACCAGCTCCAGGCCTGCAGGAGCAAGGGAGGCCGAGCAGCTGCGGCTGCAGGGGGAAAGGCTGCCTGACAGCCTGGAGTAGGACGAGAACCCGACCCAGCCAGGGTCTGGAGGGCAGGAGTCCCTCACGGAGGGCGTGCCCTACGCTTCCACAGTGTGCATCAGTTTTAGATGGCTTCTCTCTGTGCTACTTTCAGACGACAGGGTAACAAACTTCTATTTTCCCCCAGACATTTGTTTTGTCTTGGCTTTCTTTATAGGTAGCTAAACCTATATCTGATTAACACATTTTATTTAAAAAAAACATTCTTTAGAATTGTGTTCTTGTTAAGAGCAGCAAAGACAAAATTTTTTCAGGTTCTGTGTAGGAGTATAGCTGTTAGAAAACTTACTTTATTTTTCTTTTGGTTTGTGGTTAATACTGCTTTTAAGGATTTAACTTTTTTTTTTTTTTGGCTGTGGTAGGTTTATATTCTTTAGTGCATCTCCTTCCCTCAAATTTTAATGATCTCTTTTTAAGCAGCTCAAGTCTTATCTGTAAAAGTATTAACTAAAGCTAACCAACTAAATTTAGCACTGAATTTCTTTTCTTACTCATTCTCTCTTTCTAGAATAAAACCAGTATCACTATTTCATCAGCTTCCTGGGCCATCTGCTCTATTTATGCAGCTCATTTGAATACAGTTTCCTCCTTGTGCCCCCAGATTCTTCAAGATTATTAAAATCTTGGGCTCAGAGTGAGTCTTGCAAAATCGAGACCTCTCTGCTCTGGCCCATAGAACTTGTAAGTGACACGTGTCAGCAGAGACTGTGTGATTGCCTAGAAAACCGCTGAATGGGACGGCCATGTGACTCAGGCTACCGTAAGCCACTACAGGATTTTCACCCACCGTCCCGTGTGCTGGGGCCCGGCACTCCGCGTGAGCTCAAACAGCCCGGCTGTGTCATCCTCTTTACCTTCCACCAGCCCCTTCGGCCAAGGGCTTTGGAGATGAAATTCCAGGTTGAAAGGCAGATGATCCCTATGACATTCTCTTGAAAAGCCAATTTTCAAGAGCAAGGCTCTTAAACTTTCTTTCCAAGAAACAGCATACGTAAAGAGATCCTTTTTTGAAAGCGAAACTTGTTGCATGTCTAGATACAGCAGAACAAGATGGGCTGAGGTCACTGTCAGCCACGTAGATCAGTTGACAGATTTCAATTTCTGTGCAAACCTCAGCAGCGTGGGGTGGCGGTTGCTTTTCTCGGAAACGTTAAATAGACATCTACTTTCCACATTGTATTGAGCTGGCTCTTTAGCTGCTCACTGTACAAGTATTTCCTGCATCAAGTAGCTTACATATTATTCACCCGCATTGGAGAGCACTTCTCTCATTTAATGAGGCTACTTCAGTTGATTGCTTTTTTCTTTCTTCTTCTCCCTCTTCTTTATATATAATAAGCACAGCCATCCTGCCTGAGAGCTTGGATTTTACACTCTCTTAAGAAGAGCCTCCTTCACATCCTACCCACTAGTACGTGGTGAACTGTTCAGCCACCAAGAAGCAGTGAATTTATTTTCCCTAGAAAAATATTTTCAGCTCCGCAAGAAACAGAAATGAGTATAAGATACAATTATTTTCTTAGAAAGAAATCTGTAAAGTAAAGGTCAAGGTTCAACTATAAAGATGGCATCCACCCTCTTAGGCAGGGCTAAATGTGAATGGAAACAGTAGGGCAAAGTGCCAAATGTTTCCTGATGCATTTTTAAAAGATCAGTATAATATTATGCAAAAGAACTGTGCTTACAAATGCTAGCCAGGCATCGGTATGAGTGATCATTTAAAAAAAAAAATCAAGCTGTGCGGTCTTATTTGAGACATGCTTAAATCATGGTGATGAAAAGGAACTCAGAAAAACTTAACATTTCAGTAAATTTTTTACAGCCCCCTTTACTTACTTCCTTAGACCTGTAACAAATACACACAGACTAGAAAAAAAAAATACTGCTTAATTTTGCATTGTGAAAGTTGCAGCCTGGAGCGTTGCTTGTCCTCGATGGCTTCTCCAGCTGCCAAAGGTGTCTTCATCAGGCACAATGGAAGCCCCAAGAGGCTGCGGACTCTTTCCAAGAGACACACTCTGGAGCTTCTTTAAGATCTTCCCTTGGGCCGGCGCCGCGGCTCACTAGGCTAATCCTCCGCCTTGTGGCGCCGGCACACCGGGTTCTAGTCCCGGTCGGGGCGCCGGATTCTGTCCCGGTTGCCCCTCTTCCAGGCCAGCCCTCTGCTGTGGCCAGGGAGTGCAGTGGAGGATGGCCCAAGTGCTTGGGCCCTGCACCCCATGGGAGACCAGGATAAGTACCTGGCTCCTGCCATCGGATCAGCGCGGTGCGCCGGCCACAGCAAGCCGGCCGCGGCGGCCATTGGAGGGTGAACCAACGGCAAAAAAGGAAGACCTTTCTCTCTGTCTCTCTCTCTCTCACTGTCCACTCTGCCTAAAATCTTCCCTTGTGGCACTGTGGTGCAGCGGATTAACGCCCTGGCTTGTAGTGCCTGCATCCCATAAGGGTGCCGGTTTGAGTCCTGGCTGCTCCACTTCCGATCTAGCTCTCTGCTGTGGCCTGGGATAGCAGTAGAAGATGGCCCAAATCCTTGGGCCCCTGCACCCACGTGGGAGACCTGGAAGAACTGCTGGCTCCTAGCTGAATCAGCCCAGCTCTGGCCGTTGCAGCCACTTGGAGAGCGAAACAGTGGATCGAAGACCTCCCTCTCTCTCTCTCCCTCTCTGCCTCTGTAACTCTAGATCTTCCCTGCTGAGTTAAAGTTGCCCTCAAGCTCCTTTGTGACCTAGCTTTTTAGGACAAACTGCAAAGCCTCCATGTAGGAGAAAGCAGAAGTAAAACAACACAGATTCGAGGGCTAAAGAATTTGCAGTCATCTAAAGATGACCTCACATTGGGCAAAGGCTTGAAGTCTGAAGACCTCCCTCTGCCCTGACCGCTCTGACCCTGACCGCTCTGACACCAGGAGGAAGCCAGGAAGCCAGCTCTCTGTGGGGTGTGGTTTCCTCCCCTGGGGCCAGCAGGGGGCGGAGTCTGGCCTCCAGGGTCCATGGATGGTGGGAACGCAAAGGGAGAGAGAGAGATGCAGAGAAGAGCGCTCACCATTTCCGGATTCTCGGCAGCTAACTTGTCCATCTTTTCTGAGATCATCTTTTTCAAGCAGCTACTCAGCAAAAAAGCCTAAGAAATCCAGAAATAAGGAACTCTCTCAGTTGAAGAGGTCTTCATTGTCTTTCTCTCCCTCCTCACGCCACTAGGCAGGTGATAAGCTCCGCCTTTTAGAGCACACTTCCTAGAGTTTAGGTTTCTTCTTCAATGTCCAACAATTTGCATAAAGTACAATTAGCACCTAGCCATCCATTTTCTCTTTACAGTAAATTCAAAAGAACTTTTTTCGTTTATTTGAGAAGCTGAGACAGAAGAGAGAGTGTGTGCTAACCCATTGGTTCACTCCTAAATGCTCAGGGCTCCAAAGCCGGCAGCCAAGAACCCAGTTCAGGTCTCCTAGGTGGGTGGCAGGAACCCAGTTGCCTGAGCTATCGCCACTGCCTTGTAAGGTCTGAATTAACAGGAAGTTGGAGCCAGGAGCTGCGGCAGGGTGTCAAACCATGTACTCTCACGTGGGATGTAGACAAAGCTAAGCACTAGGCCAACCCCAGCCCTGCCTTTACAGCAGATTTTAAAAAGAGGTTAAAAATGTGTAAGATCTCATTACTAATATTTCTCCTTTTAAAACCCCCTCTGTGGGGCCGGTGCTGTGTTGTAATAGACTAAGCCTCTGCCTGCAGCGCCGGCATCCCATATAGGCACCGGTTCTAGTCCCGGCTGCTCCTCTTCCGATCCAGCTCTCTGCTATGGTCTGGGAAAGCAGTAGAAGATGACTCCAGTGCTTGGGCCCCTGCACCCGTGTGGGAGACCCAGAAGAAGCTCCTGGATCCTGGCTTCAGATCAGCCCAGCTCCGGCCATTGCGGCCATTTGGGAGTGAACCAGCAGATGGAAGACTTTTTTGTCTCTCCTTCTGTCTATAATTCTGCCTCTCAAATAAATCTTTTTTTTTTTTTAAAAAGTAATATACTAGGACCTATTGCTTTGATTGAAATAAAAATAGTTATATTTCTTCATTTCTTTTTTTAATACAAGAGAATTTTGAAAAGTTAGTGGAAAATGGAGATTAAAAATAAGTATATTTTGCTGCAAAAATTTTGAAATTCATGCATTTTCCATGTCTTTTCTAAAGACTTCTTATTTGCATGGATTTCAAAATTTTTTTGGCACTAAAATAAGCTCATCTTTTAATTCCATTTTCCCATATGCATTTTGAAGTCGGTACCCTCCTATATTTAATCACTCACCTTCAAGAATGAGGGTTGGCTCCAACATTATCTGTGGCTCAATCATCACTGTGAAGGCCAAGACACACGATTGTACATCTTGCTGCACAAAGCCTGGCACTCCCACGTTGCAGGACCCCAGCTCTGTGTGCTGAATTTAAGGTCCCCTGTGATGGTGCCACTTGTTCCTTTCCTTTCCCACTAACACTTTTCCTTTCCTATCCTGCTCTTTAATTTTGGCTTGCTGTCTTCTCTTTGGGCCCTACTAAGATCTGAGCCAATGGAAGCTCTGAGCTAGAGGCTACAGAACCTTAGCACAAGGTCATGTTCAAAGATGGAGGGAATGATGGGGGAGAGGAGGGAGGAGAGAGAAATCCAGGTGGGAGTGGAGCCAAGGTAGAAAGGCCTTAGTGGGAATGGCTCTGTGGGGCAGCAGGTTGGGCTGCTGCCTGCCATACTCGCAACCCATAATGGAACACCCGTCTGAGTCCAGTGACGTGGGAGATCTGCAAGGAGCTCCTGGCTCCTGACTTGGGCCTGGCCAAGACCTGGCCATTGCAGCATTGTTTCCTAGCAGGTAAAGCTACCATCTGCGATGCCAGCATCCCACATGGGCACCAGTTTGAGTCCTGGCTGCTCCACTTCTGATCCAGCTCCCTGCTAAAGCACCTGGGAAAACAGAAGATAGCCCTTGCATTCACTTGGGAGATCCAGAGGCAGCTCCTTGTTCCTGGCTCTGGCCTGGCCCAGCCCAGGCCGTTGCAGCCATCTGGGGAGTGAACCAGTAGATAGAAGGTCTCTCTCTCTCTTCCTCTTCCTCTTCAAAAATATATCTATTTATTTTAAAGGCAGAGTTACAGAGACAGAGAGCAAGAATGAGAGCGAGAGCGAGAGCGAGAGACAATCTTCCATTTGCTGGTTCACGCCACAAATAGCTGCAATAGACAGAGCTCAGCCAGGCCAAAGCTACGAGACTAGAACTCCATGCAGGTCTCCCATGTGGGTAGCAGGGCCCAAGAACCTGGGCCATCTTCTGCTGCTTTCCTAGATGCATCAGCAGGGAGCAGGAACAGAAGTGGAACAGTTGGGACTCAAACTGGTGCTCTTGTGGGATGCTGGCACCACAGGTAGCAGCTTAACCTGCTGTGCCACAAGACCAGGAGCACGACTCATTTGTTTAACTTAGGATTTTGATTTAATACTTTTGACTCTAGTAGAATAAATGTCAATGCAAAGATTTATCCAGGGGCAGCGTTGTGGCACAGCGGGTTAACGCCCTGGTCTGAAGTGCTGGTATCCCATATGGAAGCTGGTTCAAGACCTGGCTGCTCCACTTCTGATCCAGTTCTCTGTTATGGCCTGGGAAAGCAGTAGAAGATGGCCCAAGTCATTGGGCCCCTGCACCTGCATGGGAGACCCGGAAGAAGCTCCTGGCTCCTGGCTTTGGATCGGCACAGCTCCGGCCATTGCGGCCAACTGGGGAGTTGGAAGACTTCTCTCTCTCTCTCTCTCTCTCTCTCTGCCTGTCCTCTCTCTGTGTAACCCTGATTTTCAAGTAAATAAATAAATCTTTTTAAAAAGATTAATCCATTGTAGAACATCTAGAGTTTGATTTCAATTGAATTTGGTATTTAGAAAATCAGATTGTCCTTGCTTTGGAGTAGTGGGATTTCTACTCCAATTTTAGTTCTAAGTTAAACATGAGTAACGTGCTCCCAACAGCCACAGCCTCTCCTACAAGACCCTGATTTTGTTTGGGATGACAAAGTGCCAACCCCCAGGCAATTATTCATGCTTCCTCTAAGCCAACCACAAATTCTGTTCCTCTTTGCTAGACTCCCTTGCAGCTAAGACATGATAGAAGGTCTGCTGGGAAATACATAGGGTAAAGCTTTTGCTTTCCAGATAACAGACATAGCTTTTTACCTTCTTGGGGGCCAGGGTCTGCAAGTAAGTCCAGCCCATCACCTGTTTCTGTAAATAAAGTTTTACAGCCAGATTCATTTGTTTATGAATTATCTACGGTTGCTTTTAACAAAGTAGCAGCAAAAGAGACCATAGGAATCTCAACTGGTAAACTATTTACCATCTGGCTCTTTAAGAAATGTTTGCCGACTGCTGGTTGAAGCCACTATTGAGCCTGCTACCCCTTGATGACTAAAGTCATTTCTAACCGACAGGAAGGCGTGATGACTAAGAAGACAAAACAAAATTGAAAGGGATCACAGCCCAGCAGGGGAGAACACAGCACTCTCTCCTGCCCTCCCTGCCTTTGCATCACAGTGTAGAAGATGTTTAGCTCTGCTGGAGAACTCACCTGTTTGGTATAGATGACAAACCACTGCCAGTGACTTTCCTCACTATATTGGAATCTGAGCTCCAAGTCCTGGTGGAGAGTTCGCTGGGGCCCATCCCTCTCTAGCAGAGTCCCCTGCAGAGGGAAAGATATTACTGAACACACTACAGTAAGTTAAGTGCCTGTGAATGTGCTGGGCAAGATACCAACATGAATGAGACTATCCCAAATTCCAAGACGCCCTCAGTCTACTGAGGAGCCCTGTTTGGCCACCACAGTTTGATATAGTAAATGGCAGAAGAGAGGCAAACAGCAGCCTACAGAAGTAAACAGAAGGGGCACCCAACCCAAGTCGGGGCTGGGAGGGGTTGGGGGGGAGGGGGAGTATTCCTGGAGAGAGCAGCACCTGAGCAGAAGTAGCAGCTACCCAAGTTTGTTGGGGGTTTTGTTCATTTGTGTGCCAGGGGGAGTGAGAGGTGATTCCCGGTGGGAGGAACAGCAAGTGCAAATGCACTGTGGCATGAGGGAGCCTGGCTAGCGGGAGACCTTGCAGGTGACTGCGTGTGGCTGCAGCATGGGCAGCAAGGTACGGCAGGGGATAGAGAGGCAGGGCCCAGTCCTGAGAGCGTGGTAGGGGGTGTCTGGGGTGTCTGCTACCCAGCATCCATCCTTCTTCGTCCTAGTAACAGAGTCTCAAACTCCTGGAGCAAAACCAGCCCTTTTCCATGGTGGGCTATCCCCGTAGGACTGTCAGGGAACGACAAGTCAGAGAGTGGCGTCAGATCCACGCGTAGGCCAAGTGGACACACACTCCCTGGGCCCTTTGTCTCATTCCAGAAGACAGAGGTCCAAGGAGCAGGTCCTGATGGAAAGTCGGTCTCCTAGCTCCCTTGCTTCCTGACTGGCCTACGCCCCTTCTCCAGTTCTTCCTTTGACTCGGTAGGTTAATCCACAGCTGTCCAACAGACCCCCTTTTCCTCACTCGCGTAAGGTGTATCAGTGTCTGCTACTCACCTCTGGAGAGTCCTAACTCTCGCAGGACTTGTAAACGAAGCTAAGGATGCCAGACCTCATCCTGAAGGCAGCAGGCATTCATTATGAGGTCTTTAAATCTGAATAACAATGCACTTAGACTTCTGTCTTGGCAATAGTGCCCAGGCAGCATCAGTCTAGACAATGAATCGGGAAGTAGCTTCAGACACGAAACATCAGCTAGTGCAAGACTCTCAGCCCAGAGAGAAGGAGAACAGACGAGGTGAGCCCTGGGAAAGACTTGGCCAGATGCAGCACCAGCAGAGGGAAGCCAACAGAGCAGAGCGTTCTCCCCAAGCCAGGGACAAAGAAAAGCTTGGAGAAGCTGCAGTTTGAAGAGTCGGGGGTGGGGGGCAGAATACCAAGGAGGAGGGATTTCTCCATGCAGAGTGCCAGAGTGCTCTTCTCCACTCTCCGGATGCAGGATGAATAACCTGTGTGTGTGCGGGGCGGGACGCCACGAGGCTGGGCACCCAGCTACTGACAGCAGGAGGCTGAACAGTTCTGGGTGTTCACGAACAAGGCAGGAAAGAGCTCATGTTTCTATCAGGCAGAGTAGAGAGACACCGGACAAGTACCGGGTAGAGAAAGGTTAACAGTAAGCTCACGTGGTCAGTGCTGTGGTGTGATAGGCTAAGCCTCTGCTTGTGGCACCTGCATCCCATATGGGCACAGGTTCATGTCCTGGTTGCTTCAATTCTGACCCAGCTTTCTGCTATGGCCTGGAAAAGCAGTAGAAGATGGCCCAAGTGCTTGGGCCCCTGCATCCATGTGGGAGACCTGGAAGAAGCTCCTGGTTTCAGATCAGCTCAGTTCTAGCCATTGGGGCCTTTGGGGAGTGAACCAGCAGATGGAAGACCTCTCTCTCTCTCTCTCTCTCTCTGCCTTTCAATTAAATAAACAAATCTTAAAAAAAAAAAAAGAAAGAAAAAGAAAAAGGAAAAGGAAAAGGAAAAGGAAAGGAAAGGAAAGAAAAGAAAAGAAAGCCTCAAACAAGTAAAGCCAACCCCAAGGAGTCTAACTGCATGCCAGAGTAATAGCCTTAAAGGAAGGAAATAGTCTGGTCTTCAACAATGTGAAGTCACAGTGTTTGGCAAACTACGAAAAATGACGTGGGGAGCTGGTGTGGTGGTGCAGCGACACTGACATCCTGTACTGGAGCGTAGGTTCGAGTCCCGGCTGCTCCATTTCTGATCCAGCTTCCTGCTAATGCACTTGGGAAGGCACCAGCTGATGGCCCAAATGCCTGGGCCTCCACCACCCATGAGGAAGACCAGGCTGGAGCTCCTGGCTTCTGGCTTCGGCCTGGCCCAGCCCTGGCTGCTGCAGCCATTTGGGGAGTGAGCCAGTAGATGGACTTTCTCTCTGTCTCTCCCTCCTTCCCTCTGTTGTTCTGCCTTTCAGATAAATCTTTTTTTAAAAAAAATTACCTGCTATACAGAGGAGGAGAAAAACATGCTCTGTGAAGAGGAGAAGAAGCAATCCACTGAAACCATCCAGAAACTGCAGAATGATGGAATGAGTGGACAAAATACTTTAATTCAAAGTTACTTACATATGCTCCACACACACAAGAATTTAAAGGAAGGCATAAAGGGCCAGCACTGTGGCACAGTGGGTTAAAGCTCTGGACTGAAGCACTGACATCCCATAGGGGTCCTGGTTCAAGTCTCAGCTGCTCCACTTCTGATCCAGCTCCCTGCTAATGCACCTGGGAAAACAGTGGAGGATGGCCGAGTCCTTGGGCCTCTGCATCTGTGTGGGAGGCCTGGAGGGGACTCCTGGTTCCTGGCTTCAGATCGGTGCAGCTCCAGCAGTTGCAGTCATTTGGCGGTGAGCCAGTGGATGGAAGATTTCTCTCTCTCTCTCTCTCTCTTTTTCTCTCTCTCTGTCTCTCTCTCTCTGTGTGTGCGTGTGTAACTCTGTCTTTCAAATAAATAAAATGAATCTTTTAAAAAAAATAAGGAAAGAATGGCATGATAAGAGAGAAATAAAACATACAAAAAGAGCTACAAGCAATTCCTTGAGATGAAATACAACATCTGGAGGTGAAAAATACAATATTAGAAGTAAAAATGAACTGGATAGGACAGCCAGATTAGACATTACAGGAAACAAGATCAATAATCTTGAAACTGACCCAAGATGAAGCAGAGAGAGCAAAGAGACAGAAATGAATGAAACCACAATAGGATACCACTTCACATGCAGTAACTGGCTGTAACTTCAGTCAGAAAGTGACAGGCACTGGCAAGGACATGGGAAACCCAGAATCCTCACCCCTGTTGGTGGGAATATGAACTGACGCAGCCACCATGCAGGCCAGCCTGGCAGCGCCTGTGACTGTCACATACATAGTTACCACTTGGCCCGCAATTCCGCTCCTGGCTGGATGGCCAGGTGAAACGAAGAATCAGAGCCACAGGAAAGCTTGGGCACAAATGCCCGTGGAACAGAAGTCACAGCAGCCCAAAGAGAAGCAACTCAAATGCCCATCCGTGGATGAGCAGACACAGTGGAACCGGGTCTGGTTATGGAAAGGAACAAAGTACTGATACCCACTCTCTCTAAGGATGAGCCTTGGAAACACACTAAGTCAAAAGCTAGTCCCAGCGGCCCGTGTTGTGGTGCCGTTGGTTAAGCATCCCAGATGAATGCTGGCTTGAGTCCCAGCTTATCCACTTCAGATCCAGTGTCCTGCTAATGCGCTGGGAAGGCAGCAGAAGATGGCCCAGGTGCTTAGGCCCCTGCCCCTACATGGGAGACCCAGATGGAGTTTCAGGCTCCTTCCTGCTTTGGCCTGGCCCAGCCCTGGCTGTTGCTGCTATCTGGGGAGTGAACCAGGAATAGAAGATCTCTCTCTCTCTCTCTCTCTCTCTACCTCTCTCCCTGGAACTCTGCCTTTCAGATAAGTAAATCTTAAACAAAACCAGTCACAAACACAAATATTATATGATTCTATTAACAGGCAATGTCCTGAATAGGCAAATGTAGTCTATAGAGACCGAAAGTGGATGGCTAACTTCTTAGGGCTGGTGGCCATGCAGTGATAAGAAAGTGATAGTTAATGGGTATAGGTGTCTTTCTAAAAAGTGTTCTAAAGAGCAAGTGTTCTAAAATTGACCATGGTGATGGCTATGTACCTCTGTGGATATATGAAGTACCATTGAGTTGTATGCTTTACACAGGCGAGTTGTATGGTATCTGAATGATCGCGACAAAACTGTTACAATGACAGAAAATGACTGTGGCATTGGTAGACACATTTATCTGCACAGCAGAACAGAGAATCCAGGAACAGACCCACTCAAACACGGCCAAGTGACTTTTGAAAGAAGGGCAAAAGCAACTTGACTGAGGAAAGACAGCCGTTTCAATGAATGGCGCTGGGGCAGTAGGGATTCCCACATGCAACAAAGGGAGCCTCACCCCAAGTGTCACACACCACACAAATGCACCCTATTTAGATGTAAAACCTGCAACTATAAAACTTCTCAGAAAATAACAATAGAAAAAAATATTCGTGTCTTAAGGCTCAGGAAAGAATTCTTGGTCTTGACCCCCAAAACACACAATCCACAGAGAAGAGTGATGAGTTTGAGTTCATCAAAAGTAAAAAACTTGCTCTATTAAGAGGAGGAAAACTAGAGAGAGAGAGAGAGAGAGGGAAAACATTTGCAAACCAGATGGCCAGCAAAAGACAAGCATCTAAAACATACAAGGAGGCTGGCGCCGCAGCTCACTAGGCTAATCCTCCACCTTCGGCGCCGGCACACCGGGTTCTAGTCCCGGTCGGGGCGCCGGATTCTGTCCCGGTTGCCCCTCTTCCAGGCCAGCTCTCTGCTGTGGCCAGGGAGTGCAGTGGAGGATGGCCCAAACCTGCACCCATGTGGGAGACCCAGAAGAAGCTCCTGGCTCCTGGCTTTGGATCAACACAGCTCTGGCCACTGCGGCCATTTGGGGAGTGAGCCAGCAGATGGAAGACCTTTCTCTCTGTCACTGTAACTTTACCTCTCAAGTAAATAAATAAAATCTTTAAATATATATACATATACACACACACAAGGAACTCTCAAAATTCGATGGTAAAAACAAACAATTCAATTAGAAAATGGGTAAAACAACCAGATATTTCACCGAAGAAGATATACAGATGGCAAATACGCACAGGAGAAGATGTTTAACATCATTAGCTGTGAGGGAAATGCAAACTAAAACCACAAGATACCATTACATTCCTATCAGAATGACTAAAATAAAAAATAGTAACGACACCAACGCTGGTAAGGATGCAGAGGAATTGGATCAATCATATTCTGCTGGTGGGCATGGAAAATGATACCGTTGGATAGTTTCTTAAAAACCTAAACCCCTAATTAGCGGATGATCCAGCAATTACACTCCTGAGCACTGAACCCACAGAAATGAAGACTTGTGTTCAGACAAAAGTGAGTACATGAATATTTATGGCTGCTATATCCACAGCAGCTAAAACTGAAAACACCCAGATGTCTTTCAGTGGGTGAATGGTTCGACAAACTTGGCGCATCCACGCCAGGGACTACTGCTAAGCAAGAAAACGAAAGAAACTACTGAAACACACAATGATCTAGATGAATTTCCTAGGAATTATACTAAGTCCAAAAAAAAAATTAAGTCAATCCCCCAAATAATTACCATTTACGGACTCTTCCACCCAATAGCAGAAGACACATTCTTTCATATGAATACAGAGTATTTACCATACCAGGTCAAATTTGGGGCCGAGAAACAAATTTCTCAAAAGGACTGAAATCACACCATGATTCCAAGGGGAAAGTGCCAGGCAGGGAGATGGCGTAGGAGGCTCTTCAGCCCATCCACGCGGGAACGTTGAGAGCAAGCGGCGAGGGGGGAAAAGGGAGATTTCCGAGGGACAGCAAGGTAGAAGCACGGCCAGGGCTCATTCAACGTGCAGGATAAGGGGGAGTGGGAAGTCAGAGGCAACTCCAAGCCTTCCAGCCTGGCAGTTAGGGGGCGGTGGTGAAGCCCCATTCACCAGGGGACAGGCGGAAGGGTGCAAGCACAGGGCAGGCACAAGGGGAACGGACAGGTCTGCTTTGGCAAAGGCTGAGTTTGAGATGTTTGTGCAATGCCCAGGGAGGGTGTCCAAAGGGCACAGGAAATACTAGTCCTGAGACGGAAGGACCTGGTGGTTGATGGCAGATGGTATCTAGCGTCTATCCTGGAAGTGGAACCGCAGGGAACAGCAGCATTTCAGGGGTGCTCAGAGGGAGAAGGTCTACAAAAACAGAGGCAGGAGAAGAGGTGGTATTATGAAACCATTATTTATTTGAGAGTCAGAGAGAGAGAGAGAGAGAGAGAGAGAGGGAGCACTCCATCTGCAGGTTCACTCCCCAAAGCTCAGGTCTCCCGCATGGGTGGCAGGAATCAATCACTTGAGCCATCAGAACTCCTTTGGCAGAGTCTGCATAGTGCAAAGCTCAAGTCAGGAGCCCAAACCTGGGATTGAACGCGGGCCCTCCCACATGGGATGCAGGTGTCCCAATTGGGATCTTAACCTCTAGGGCAAAGTCTCATGGCAAGAGAGGGTGTTTTGAGAAAGAAAGTGTGGTGGATGGTATCACATGCCACAGGGAAGCCCTAGGTCAGCTAGAAAATCCCCACGGATGGAGCACGTAGGTGTGCGGGTTGCTCTAGGTTGCTTTCGTCCTCTACTACTTAACCTCAGTTTTCATTGCAAAGAACTAATCCCGCTTAGCTCACTGAGTACATGTAAGAATTAAATAATAGATACGGGGCCGGCGCCGCGGCTCAATAGATACGGGGCCAGCGCCGCGGCTCAATAGGCTAATCCTCTGCCTTGCAGCGCCGGCACACCAGGTTCTAGTCCCGGTCGGGGCGCTGGATTCTGTCCCGGTTGCCCCTCTTCCAGGCCAGCTCTCTGCTGTGGCCAGGGAGTGCAGTGGAGGATGGCCCAAGTGCTTGGGCCCTCCACCCCCATGGGAGACCAGGAGAAGCACCTGGCTCCTGGCTTCGGATCAGCGCGGTGCACCGGCCGCAGCGTGCCGGCCGCAGTGGCCACTGGAGGGTGAACCAACGGCAAAAGGAAAACCTTTCTCTCTGTCTCTCTCTCTCACTGTCCACTCTGCTTGTCAAAAAAAAAAAAAAAAAAAAAAAAAAAAAAAAAAAAAAAGAAGAAGAAGAATAGATACAGAAGTGCCCAGCCCAGCAGTTGGTACTAAATAGGCTCTCAGTCAATCTGACAACGAGGCTTTCTCTTGCAGGGAGAAGGTACTGTATGCAAGCTTCCAGGCCCCCTTAAGAAGAGCCTTGCTGGTCAGCATCCAGTTTCCAAGAGAAGAGTTTGCCAGCACTGAACACAAAGCAAGTGCTCAATAAAAGCAGCTGTTATTACTATCTGCTATTGTGACAACAGCTGCGCAGAGCAGCAGGGAACCATGAGTGGTATTACCGAGCCAACTGGTAAACCTGTCTCCCTACTGCCGACTTGGTCATCAAGAGCAATGGGGTTTTTAAACCCCGGGTGGAGGCTGTATGTCACGGGAAAAGCAGGCCGCCGGGATACTCACGAGGAAAGTGACCTGCCAGCACTTCACCCTGCTCAGCTGGAACGTGACGTCTCGGGTCTGGCCATCCGGCAGGGTTATGCAGCAGCTGATCTCCTTGTTGCCGACGCAAAGAACAGCCCGGCAGCCTGGTTCTGGGTAGTCACAGGTGCAGGGATCCAGCTGCACGCACCCGTAGTGCTGCGCCTCACGGGCCAGCTCCAGAAACTGCTCCAAAGGGACGAGGACGCGGGGGAGAGAGGAAGCAAAAGATGCAGAAACTTGAAGCCGATGAAATCCTCACGTCAGAGGCTATTGCCAGTCTAGGAGGATGCCGGGAACCGAGTCACAGGAGAGCACCTTGCTTTTTTTTCTGGGGCACAGGAATGAAGACCACGCCTCTGCAGTGACGACAAGCCGTGGGGAAGCTCGTGGCGTGCCCTGCCGGGGCAGGAGCCATTCCTGCCTCATCAGCATCATGTCCCTGCACCTGTAACGGTGCTTGGGACAGAGCAGGACAGAAAACGCACCATGGGAGGAGTAAGAGTGGGGTGAATAAAATGAATGAGCAGAGATGATTCTATCGTAGCAGATTACAACAACACACACAGCGAGTGTACATTTAAAGTGTCTTTTAAAAACTACCTGGAGAGGCCGGCGCCGCAGCTCACTAGGCTAATCCTCCGCCTCGCGGCGCCGGCACACTGGGTTCTAGTCCCGGTCGGGGCTCCGGATTCTGTCCTGGTTGCCCCTCTTCAGGCCAGCTCTCTGCTGTGGCCAGGGAGTGCAGTGGAGGATGGCCCAAGTGCTTGGGCCCTGCACCCCATGGGAGACCAGGAAAAGCACCTGGATCCTGGCTCCTGCCATCGGATCAGCGCGGTGCGCCAGCCGCAGCGCGCCGGCTGCGGCGGCCATTGGAGGGTGAACCAACGGCAAAGGAAGACCTTTCTCTCTGTCTCTCTCTCTCACTGTCCACTCTGCCTGTCAAAAAAAAAAAAAAAAAAAAAAAAAAAAACACAAAAAAACAACTACCTGGAGATCCACATTGGAAGAAAAGTAACTTGTTTTTACAGACTGTTTTGACAGTGGTGTTGTCAGAGGAGAGTTTGGAAATGGCTACGAAACAGCAGCACAAGGAGGCCTGTTTTTTGTTTGTTTGTTTGTTTGTTTGTTTGTTTGTTTTGGGCAGGCAGAGTTAGACAGTGAGAGAGAGACAGACAGAGAGAACGGTCTTCCTTCTGTTGGTTCACCCCCCAAATGGCCACCATGACTGGTGCTGTGCTGATCCGAAGCCAGGAGCCAGGTGCCTCTCCTGGTCTCCCATGCGGGTGCAGGGCCCAAGCACTTGGGCCATCCTCCACGGCACTCCCGGGCCACAGCAGAGAGCTGGCCTGGAAGAGGAGCAACCAGGACAGAACCGGCACCCCAACCGGGACTAGAACCCAGAGTACCGGCGCCACAGGTGGAGGATTAGCCTAGTGAGCCGTGGCGCCCGTCAAGGAGGCCTGTTTTCTACAGAGAGAGTTCCAGCACCCCCAGATGCCCAGGGGACACTCTTAGGATACTCTGACCACAGGCCAGGTGTGGTTCCAGCTGCAGTCCTAGCATTCTGTCCTATTATGTTTGTCTAGGATTTTCATTTTTAACAAAGTATTGTTACTAACAACTGCATTTAATAAACTGATATTGGGGGTTGGACTTGTGGTGTAGCAGGTAAAGCCGCAGCCTGTGACCCTGACAACCAATATAGGTACTGGTTAGCGTTCTGGCTGCTCCACTTCCAATCCTGCTCCCTGCTAATGGCCTGGAAAAAGCAGTAAAAGATGGCCCAAGTGCTTGGGCCTCTGCCACCCATGCTGGGAGACCCAGATGAAGCTCCTGGCATTGCAGCCACTTGGGGAGTGAACCAGTAGATGTAAGATCTCTCTGTGTCTCTTCACTCTCTCTGTGTAACTCTTTCAAATAAATAAATCTTTAAAAAATAATAAATAAATATGGGACTAGCACTGTGGCGTGGTGGGCTGGGCCTTTGCCTGTGGCACTGGCATCCCATATGAGTGCGGGTTCATGTCTAGGTTGCTTCTCTTCCAATCCAGCTCTCTGCTGTGGCCTGAGAAAGCAGTAGAAAATGGACCAACTGCTTGGGCCCCTGCACCTGCATGGGAGACCTGGAAGAAGCTCCTGGCTCCTGGCTTCAGATTGGCCCAGCTCTGGCTGTTGTGGCCATTTGGGGAGTGAACCAGCGGTTGGAAGACCTCTTTCTCTCTCTCTCTCTGAAACTCTGCCTTTCAAATAAATAAAATAAATCCTTAAAAAAAAAAAAAAAGAATGATAGCTACATAATGACAACCTGGCTCTTTCCCAAGCCTCTCCTGAAGCAAGGGAGCTCCCACCTCTCGTTCAAGGACTATGCTCTCTGACGAAGTGAAACGTGGCAAGACGTAAGCGGAGAGGGACAGCTGACTCTCAGTCTCGCGCTGTAGGACACAGCTGTGCTGGGACCCGTGCTGCAGCTTCGGAGATGCGTTCGGCTGCCTGGTCTCCAGCAGGGTCACTGAGAATCATCCTTGGTACCTGTGCAGGGTGGGAGCGGGGCTGGGTCAGCTTGCCCCGGAGCGCTCAGAGAGTGGGCGCATGCTCTTGCTACAGGACTTTCTTACTCAGTATAGGGTATGAGTCGATCATTGTTTATTTCATTGTTTGAGAGCACTTACAAATGTGCAATCATTCCTTAATTGCAATGAGCTAAAACAAATGCAAGTAGTTGTTTGTACACGAAGCTCTCTTTTGCAAGAAAATTGGGGTTGAATAAGTAACTTACTCAACACACTTGCTGGCATTTGCCATTCAGTGAGGCAATGTCCCTGAGGAAAACCAGAAGACCGCAATATGCCAGCATGATCTACTTGAAAAATTAGTTCTTTGAAGATGAACTAGAAAGCACTGTTTAACGCATATGGTAGCAGAAGGTGTGTATGTATGTTTCATTTAGAACAAGGGTTAGCAACCTTTTCTGTAAAGAGCCCTGTGGGAAATCGTCTCTATCGCCACCATGGACCTCTACACTGTAGCACGACAGCCACCTCAGACAACGTAGAAACAGGTGCGCGTGCCTGTGTGCCAAGAAACCTTCATTGGCAAAACCAACAGCCCAGGGGCTGGCGCTTATCTCGGATTTGTATCAAAAGGCTCTTCTTTAATTCGCTCATTTCCAGTTCCACACTTTCTTGTCCATTTCCATCAAGGAAAGCAGTGGTTGTTCGTGTGTGGGCTCCGACAGCAGCAGAACCTCACAAGCACTTACGTAATGCTGGGTATGCATCAGCACTCCACGGTGCTTTCAGGAAAAAACGAATTCATTGCAGTAAGGCCTCAACTTTGAAATCTAATTCGTGTACTTAAGGTTTTGTTTTGTTTTGTTTTGTTTTTATTTATTTTACAGGTAGAGTTATAGACAGTGAGAGAGAAAGACAGAGAGAAAGGTCTTCCTTCCGTTGGTTCACCCCCCAAATGGCCACTACGGCTGGCACGCCGCACCAAACGGAAGCTAGAATCCAGGTGCTTCCTCCTGGTCTCCCATGCAGGTGCAGGGACCCAAGCACTTGGGCCATCCTCCACTGCCCTCCCGGGCCACAGCAGAGAGCTGGACTGGAAGAGGAGCAACCAGGACTAAAACCCAGTGCCCACATGGAACGCCAGTGCTGCAGGTGGAGGATTAACCAAGTGAGCCACGGCGCCGGCCCCTTAACTCTGCCTTTCAAAAAAATATATATATACAATAAAGTAGAAACCATTTCTTTGTTACGATATGTCTGGCTAGTCAGACCCATATGCACTGCTTGGGAGCAGGAGGCATCTGAACTGGTATCACCGTCAGGAAGGTTTAAAAAGGGATATTCAGAAATATCACCTAAGGAATAGCAGAACACAGCCTCAGAGAGCGAGGATGGTGGCTGCAGCGTTCTGAGACCTCCAGCCGAGATCTGGCCCAGGCGCTAGAACACAGAGCGTGCAGATTAATCAGACACAGGCTGCGGCCTCATGGTGCTCACTGCCAGAGTGATTTATAGAAGCAAATGCTGGAAACAACCTGACTTGCAAGAATAGGAAACCGGCGACTAAGCGAGAACAGGATCATAAAGTGGAATACTCCGTAGTCATTAAAAAGAATGCTGAAGATCTATATTAATTAACTTGGCAAAAGACTCATTAAACACCATCTGTAGTTTTTTCTTTTTAGAATCTTTAAGCAATAGGCTTTTACTAATTGCATAACCAGAAAAATCAATGCACGTGTTCTCATTTTTTAAAAAGAACCTTAGTCTTCAGTGCCTGACAGTTTAATAAATTATAGAAACAGTGCAATTCCACAGCATTTCTTAACTCTCCTCCAAGGGGTTTCTCTTGGTGTAATATTTGATTCACCTGTGTTTGATTGTCTTCTTTCTGGAGAGCTTCTAATTTCTGCCTCTGTGCCTGTGTGGGTTTGGCCCATTCTTTGTCAATGTCCTCTTTTGCCTTAAAACAACAAAAATTGTAAAATTAGCAGTCGTGGCAGAAATAAGTTAATCTGACAAAAAGTTCATTGTGTAGGAGAGCTTAAGTGGTTCCGTATAATGATGGAGCGTGTGATAAAGGTTTCCTTTTCAGTTATGGGTAGGAAGAGATTTTGCAGCAGTTTGAGGACAACTGAAAACACTTGGCAAAGAAAATAAAATTAGTTCTTTCCCCACACCACCCAGTCAACTAAATCATGGATGAAAACTTAAATGTGGGGGCCGGTGCTGTGGCACAGCGGGTTAATGCCCTGGCCTGAAGCGCCGGCATCCCATATGGGCGCCGGTTCTAGTCCCGGCTGCTCCTCTTTCGATCCAGCTCTCTGCTATGGCCTGGGAAAGCAATGGAAGATGACCCAGGTCCTTGGGCCCCTGTGCCCGCATGGGAGACCCGGAGGAAGCTCCTGGCTTTGGATCGGCGCAGCTCTGGCCATTGCGGCCAATTGGGGAGTGAACCGTCAGATGGAAGATCTCTCTCTCTCTTCTGATTTTTGGGTTAGAGATGCCCAACCCAATGATCAGAATTGGCAGTGATCTAGGAAAATACACAAGACATTGCAGACAGGATTAATAGGATTGACAGTAGTATGGCTTGAAAAAATACTATTTTCATTTACTCAAAAGGCAGAATGAGAATGAGAGCAAGTGAGAGACATTGATCCTCCATCCTAAGTTTCACTCCCCAAATGCCCACAATAGCCAGAAACCAGGAACTCCATCCGGGTCTCCTACATGAGTGGAAGAGGCTCCAGGAGTTGAGCCATTATCCATTGCTTCCCAATATCAGGCAATATCACAAAGCTGGATCAAAAGGGGAGTAGCTGGAACTCAAACTCACTCTGATATGGGATATGGGGATCCCAAATGGTGGCTTAACCTTGCTGCACCACAACCCCCGTCTCTACCCCAGTACAACTTTCTAGAGGAAACTAGGCAATGCAAATCTAAACCCACCTAGGAGACCCATTAACACACAAATGGGGAAAAATATATTGACAGCCAAGTATTGCCTTGTATAACGAACAAACCTCAGCTAACATATCTATGTGCTTACTGTGTGGCTCACAATGTCCCAATTGCTCCAAGACAACAGTCAGTCTCCCCAGCCACCCTGTCAGCATGTAGGTATTGTGATGAAATGCCCAAAATAGGCCACTGAGTTCGGGTATAATGAAAAAACAGGCTATGCAATCAAGAAAAATTAAGTACAATACTTAATGATATGGGATATTATATGGAATACTTAGTAACACAGGAAGGAAAAGTCTATGATGTATTAATATGTGATAAACACCAAGTTACAAATGAGGCATACTCAGAAACTTCATTTTTTTTATAAAACAGCAAAAAATAAATATCCACCAAAATCCAAACAAAAAACCTCGTATAAAGACATGAATCAAGGAAATGGATGTGTATATATAGATATATGAAACGTATGTGAACCAAACACACCGAAAAAGTCAACAGTTTGTGTTTATGGGCTGATTTAAGATGTGGGTTGACATTTACTTTCCATTTTGGGCTCTTCCAAGTTTGCAGTCGTTTTATAAGATGAAAGCAGTTTCCATTAAAAAAATTAAAACTGAATATCTGGCTGGGCCTGGCTGCTTGGCTGGGTCACCGCCCTCATCGATCTCCCCTAAGCCGGTTTCTCGATGATTTCCTGATTCAGTGCAGCTTTCAGTGTGACACTGGGCTCAAAGGCAGACGTCACCCGAAGACAACTTCCTCTTGTGGAAGCTCAAAGAATTTTTTGGAAGCAAAAAGAAAAATAGAAGTAATGAAGCCTGCTGCTCCAGGTACCTCCTCCTGCGCTTTCTTCTCCTCCTCCTGGCACTGTTGCCTGTTTCCTTCAGCCAGCCTGGCCTCCGGGGAGACTCAGGTCTTACTGTCCATCCCATCAGCAGTGCTACCTTAGCCTCTCTTCCCTGACTGTCCATGACTGTGCCTCCCATCAAGGGAAGCCCCATGCCCTTGACCTGGGTGCACCTTGCCCAGTGTCCTACGTACAGCAAACACCCAACAACTCCCTGCCAATCAGCAGACACCCATTTGCACTGCAGTCTGAAGTGTGTGTGTGTGTTATACCCCTTGGTGACTGGCAAGTTATGTTCATTTCCAAGAAAAGAACAAAATGCTGAAGATGGGGGCAGACGTTGTGGTGCAGCAGGTTAAGCCGACACTTGTGATCCCAGCAACCCGTATCAAAGTGCCATTTCTGGTCCTGGTTTCTCTGCTTCTGATCCAGCTCCCTACTAACGAGCCTGGGAAAGCAGCAGATGATGGCCCAAGTACTTGGGCTCCTGCCACCCACATAGGAGACTCAGATGGAGTTCCTGGCTCCTGGCTTTGGCCTGGCCCAGCTCCAGCCATTGCAGCCATTTGGGGAATGAATCAGCAAATGAAAAATTCTCTCCCCCCCCCTCCCTCTCCCTCTCTCTCCTTTTCTTTCTCTGTCACTGTGCCTTTCAAATAAATAAATAAACCTTTTTTAAAAGCTGAAGACACTTCTGACATTGCTATTTAGGTTGGCAAAGGGGGATATGGCATTGAGAGAGAAGAAAAATATTTGTCGAGAATCTATTTTAGGCAGGTTTTCTTGTTGACTTTTCCCTGTGGAGTTGGAGGTTCAGAGAGGCCATAATGTTCAGGATGACCCAGCAAGTGAGTGGCCACGGTCAGATTAAACCCAGGTCTGACCTCCACACGGAGCCAAGCCATTAGATCCTTATTGGGCAGGCTGCTGCCCACCCCAAGGCTTTCTCCTTGTCACCGACTGTCCTGGAAGCTGAACCCACACACCACATACAGAACAGAATCAGCATGGGCGTGAGTGTTTTCTCTCTCGAATTCCGCTCGATGTTGCAGCTCCACAAGGACTGGTTAGCACAGGGCAGCAAGGTCAGAGAGAGAGACACAGGGCTCAGAGGAGTAGGTACTGACTGCAGACACCTCATTCATCGCCATCCGTGGCAGAGGTCACCAGCTCTATGACTTCTATCATTCGGAAACTGTCCACCCTGATCTGGGGCTCACAAGTCATCATTCAGATGCATCTTCTACAGTGTCTCACTCCAAGGCAGTTCAGACAGTGAGTCAAGTCTAGACAGACGTCGCCACTCGTTACACAGTGCCTGGAAGACCGGCTGATGGGGACTCACACAGAACCCAATTTTATAAACCGAGTGAAACCACAGAAGCCATGGTTTTCCTGCCTGTCAGCCGCAAGCACTCCAACTCCTGCCACAGAAGGCACAGTAGTGAGAAATGGCGAGCTTGAGCCTTACAAAGAAAAGCATCGCTCACTCAGTTCTGGCCAGCAACGCTCAGTGCGGGGTACGTATGCACCTGCACAGGGCACGGGGCCACCAGGGGCCATCAGCTGCTTAGCCACAGGCCTGACATGGGCCAGGGCCTGCCTGGAGGAAGGGGCACCTTTTTCTCATGTCCACAAGGTCACTGTACTAGGCCTGCTGAAACGAAAACTTAGAAGCAACTAAGCCTTCAACATCCGTGAGAAAACCTAGACACGTATGTGTCCGCATGTGGTCTCCCAGTTTGTCAGCATCAAGTTCAAAAGGAAGGAAGAGAAGAAAGGGAGCAGGACATGGCAACCCAGTGAGCTCCCTGGCCATCCTCAGGGCCATGTGCTTGTAGAACCATCGAAAGGCTCTCCTTCACGGCTGATTAGCACAACTCCCCAATGCATTAGAACTCATCATTCACATATCTTAGGCATGTGAGACGCACTCTCTGTCCATGGCCATCGAGAGCCTGGCTAGCGAGAGATCGCGTGGGAACCGGTACTGGCCGCCCACTGGGCATGATAGGAGAGGACATGGGTCACTACCGCGGGAGCAGGGAGGGAGGGAGGTGCATTCTTTTGGGGGCAGCCAAAGAAGGTATCTGCAAGAGGCTGCAAATTGTGCACCTGCCTTGGCTGCTGAGCTTGGGTCTAATTTCTGATTTCTCAGTACCCCGGCTCAGATTCAGGGAGTGATGCAATGGTCATGATAATGATGACTGCAACATTAGCTACAGTTTTTGGAAGACACTACCAGGCAAAGAGCTAAGATGTGAATAATTGTCTGTGAAAGCTGGGAGAAGATTTAGAGTCTGTTAGTTTAACCTCATCACTTACTAGGGGGACATCGTGGTTTGGAAGGTGGTGGGCCAGAGATAACCTTGACAGAAAGCCAGTGGCAGAGTAAGGGACAGAACCCAGGAAGCTATCCTTTTCCCAGTCACAAGCAGAGGAAAGTGTCTCTCTGGTTTACAACTCCTAATGAAAACAGACAAAAATCAGTGTGGGGCAAGCACTGTGGCACAGTGGCACAACGGGTTGGACCACCACTTGCAATGCCGGCATCCCATATGAGCACCAGTTTGAGTCCAGGCCACTCCACTTCTGATCCAGCTCCTGGCTAATGTGCCTGGGAAAGCAGGAGAGGATGGCCTACATACTTGGGTCCCTGCACCCACATGGGAGACCTGGAAAAAGATCCTGGCTTCTGGCTTCAGACTGGTCCAGACCTGACTGTTTCCATCATTTAGAGAGTGAACCAGCAGATGGAAGAGCTCTCTCTCTCTCTCTGTAATTCTGCCTTTCAAATAAATAGGCTTTTAAAAAGTAATATTGTAGGGGCTGGCACTGTGGCGTAGCAGGTAAAGCCACTGCCTGCAGTGCCGGCATCCCATATGGACACTGGTTCGAGTCCCAACTGCTCCATTTCCAATCCAGCTCTCTGCTATGGCCTGGGAAAGCAGTAGAAGATGGCCCGGGTCCTTGGGCCCCTGCACCCATGTGGGAGACCCAGAAGAAGCTCCTGGCTCCTGGCTTCAGATGGGCACAGCTCTGGCTGTTGCAGACAATTGGGGAGTGAACCAGTGGATGGAAGCTCTCTCTCTCTCTCTCCCTCTCCCTCTCCCTCTCCTTCTCTATGTAACTCTTTCAAATAAATAAATAAATCTTTAAAAAAATATTATAGTGCTAGCAGCTTTGATCTCTCACCACAAGAACAGGAAACCACATTGTAAAGATCACACACCTATTTCCCACAGGACCAATATTAGACGTGGTGATGCAATTTCAACCAATGATGTCATAGTAAATAAACCAGAAACATGAATAATTTATCATAACATTAAGAATACAATGGCAACGAGCCCCCAATAAATATTTAAAATGGTAAATCCTGCCCCATACCCAGGTAACATGAGTGTAAGTACATTGAACATGATCACGTATGGATCATAGTATGCTATGGGGGGTAAGTATGTGGCCTTATCGCTAAGGTGCTGGTTAGGATGCCCACGTCCCACACTGGAGTATCTGGGTTCGAGTCTCACTCCAGCTCCTGACTGCAGCTTCCTGCTAACACACACCCTGGGAGGCAGCAGGTAGCGGCTGAAATGATTGAGTCCTTGTCACCCATATGGGAAACCTGGATTGAGTTCTTGGCTCCCAGCTTCAAGTTGGCATAGTCCTGGCCATTGCAAACATCTGGGGAATGAACCAGCAGATGGGAGCTCTGTCAGTCTCCATCTCCCTCACTCTCTACCTCTTATATTTAAAACAGGAAATGGACTCAAAGCTATTCTGACCATAAAATATGACAGCACATATTAAATACTTTCGGATGACATTTTCATTTTCCTGCTGGAATTTAAAAGAGCTTCATGGAGATGCTTTATTAGTGCCTTGGTCTCTTAAAAAAAGCACCCAAGGAAGTGTGTGTGCCGAGATTCTTTACCTTCTATAAGCCTCTAGGAAGCTGACACATCAAAATGTACCCACTGGGGCTGGCACGGTGGCACAGAGAGTTAAAACCCTGGCCTGAAGCGCCAGTATCCCATATGGGCGCCAGTTCTAGTCCCAGCTGCTCCTCTTCCGATCCAGCTCTCTGCTATGCCCTGGGAAAGCAGTGGAAGATGGCCCAAGTCCTTGGGCCCCTGTACTGTGTGGGAGACCTGGAAGAAGCTCCTGGCTCTTGGCTTCAGATCAGCCCAGCTCCGGCCATTGTGGCCATTTGGGGAGTGAACCAGTGGACAGAAGACCTTTCTCTCTCTCTCTCTCTCTGCCTCTCCTCTCTCTGTGTAACTCTTTTAAATAAATAAATAAATCTTTTTTTAAAAAGTTTATTTTGATATGAACAATGTCAAAATCCATACCAGGAGAGTCATGAACATTTCTTAAATCAATTAATTTGATTTCTTTGAGAGACAGACCAAGAGAAACTTTCCATTCACTGGTCCACTCCTCAAATGCTCACAACAGCTGGGGCTGGACCACATTGAAGCTGGGAATTCAATCCAGGTCTCCCACATGGGTGGTGGGACTCAATTACTGAAGCCATCACCTGCTGCCTCCCAGGGTGTGCATTAGCAGGAAGCTGGAATTAGCAGTGGAGCCAGGACTCAAAGCCAGGCTCTCTGATGTGGGACGTGGGTACCTGAGTGGCATCTTCTCTGCTGTACCACACATCTGCCCCACCACGACCTTCTGAGTACACACGAAGGCCATGTCCTGTTAGACAGTGGACGTGCTAAGGGGGAAATGAAATGAGTACAGCAGCATTTGGGGTCTTGTCTCAGTGAGACGGCGAGCCTCGGTGGGGTTTGAACAGGGCAAGGCCACCCTGGGGACGGACTGTGGGATATTGTCAGGGAATTCCCAGGAGGCTGGGAAAGTTCTCAACCTCCTTCCCAGAATTGTCGAGCCAGGCCTGCAAAGGACCAGGTCTCCCAAGACGTTGATGTGCCGAGAGGGAACGCCCGGGGGCTGCCGGGGAGGCTGGCAGAGAACTGAGGTAGGTCAGCCAGGGGCTGTCGGGGAGGCAGCCTCTGCTTCCACCATACTGCTTAGCAGAACCCTCACACCCAGGGCAGGGAAGGGAAAGGGGGCCAGACTCTGAATTCATGTCTGTAGAGGCTGGGAGGTAGAGGTAGGCAGGACCACCAACATACCACCCAGTGGAAAAGGAATACGTGGTCTTTGTTCAAAAACCATGAGGAATTCCAAGGTGGCATTGAACCAGCATGAGGCCCTTCAGAGCACAGGGTCCACTGCGGCTGCCAGGTCACGGGCCACGGGAGCCCGTGTGTGTTGCTTGCTGGCTCAGGGCAAAGAGGCTATCATAGAGTGGGATTTAGAGGTTGCTATGGGCACTGTAAGACTTGTCTCCCCAAAACTCAGGCGAGATGCTTACAGACTAAGAGTAGAGACTTGATCTGGCTGTGGCTAGAAGTTGGGACTGGTAGGAGTTCTTGGAAACATGTCCTGGGAGAGTAGTTCTCAGGAGAGGTTTAATCGTTTGAATTCAAGTTTGCCCCAAGTTCGTTCTCTCTCTCTCTCTCTCTCTCTCTCTCTCTGCTTCCTGGCTCATCACGTGATCAGTCCTCCATCAGACGCTAGAAAATGGGGAACGCTCAGTCCTGAACTGTAGCCACAGAACTATAAGCGGAAATAAACTAATTTCCCAAGAAGCTCCTCGCAGGTATTTTAGTTAAAGTAACAAAAGCAGACTAATACAGTGACCGCATGTGAACTTAGTCTCAGGGATATTCTTTCATGTCAAATTAGCCTAGATGGTGGAGGGAGCATCAGCTATACATTCAGAGAGCGACGGTTAAGAGAGAGGTGGGATTCTTCTCCCTCTGTAAATTGTTCTTCTTGTTTTTTCATTTTGGTATTTTTTCTTTTTTTGACAGGCAGGGTTAGTGAGAGAGAGAGACAGAGAGAAAGGTCTTCCTTCCATTGGTTCACCCCCAAAATGGTCGCTACGGCTGGCGCGCTGCGCTGATCCGAAGCCAGGAGCCAGGTGCTTCCTCCTGGTCTCCCATGGGGTGCAGGGCCCAAGCACTTGGGCCATCCTCCACTGCACTCCCGGGCCACAGCAGAGAGCTGCACTGGAAGAGAAGCAGCTGGGACAGAACCGGTGCCCCAACCTGGACTAGGACCCAGGGTGCTGGCGCCGCAGGCAGAGGATTAGCCTAGTGAGCTCTGGTGCGAGTCTCATTTCGGTATTTTTAATAAAAATAGACACAACACAACACTTACCATTTTAGCCATATTTCTAAGTATGTGATTCAATGGCATTAAATACAATCAAAATCTTGTATAACCATCCCAACAACCTATACCTAGAAATTGATTATCCGCCAATAACAACTCTGTTCCCATGAAATAACAGCCTCCCTTCCCCCAGTCTTAGTCCCTGGTAACCTCTATCATCCTTTCTGTGTCTGTAGGATTCTTTTTTTTTTTTTTTTTTTTTGGACAGGCAGAGTTAGACAGTGAGAGAGAGAGAAAGGTTTTCTTTTTCCCATTGGTTCACCCCCCAAGGGGTCCCCCCACAACAACATTTGTCAGAGGGGGCGCTGCGCGGATGATAAAGAAGGGAGCCAGGAGTTTCTTCCTGGTGGCCCAACCAAGGAAAGGGCCCAAAGACCTGGGCCATCCTCTACTGTACTCCCGGGCCATAGCAGAGAGCTGGCCTGGAAGAGGAGCAATCGGGACAGAATCCAGCGCCCCAACCGGGTCTAGAACCTGGGATGCCGGCGCCACAGGCAGAGGATTAGCCTAGTGAGCCGCGGCGCCAGCTGAGGTAGGATTCTTAACTACTACATCTTAAAAAATGATTTCACGGGGCCAGCGCCGTGGCTCACTTGGCTAATCCTTCGCCTGCGGCACCAGCATCCCATATGGACACGGGGTTCTAGTCCCGGTTGCTCCTCTTCCAGTCCAGCTCTCTGCTGTGGCCCGGGAGGGCAGGGGAGGATGGCCCAGGTTATTGGGCCCTGCACCTGCATGGGAGACCAGGAGGAAGCACCTGGCTCCTGGCTTCGGATCGGCACAGTGCTGGCCGTAGCAGCCATTTGGAGAGTGAACCAACGGAAAAAGGAAGACCTTTCTCTCTGTCTCTCTTTCTCACTGTCTATAAATCTACCTGTCAAATAAAAAATAATAATTTCATGCCAAAATGGCCTGCAACATCTGGCAGTGTCCTGAGAGAGTGCTTGGTCCCCCTCACCTGCAAATACAGCAAGCCAACGGCCACTCTGCAGTCCATCAGCTTGGCGTCGAGGGATGGATCCATGTACCTGCACGATTCAAGCGTGTTCGGTGAATTCCTACAACACGGCCAACGGCCCACCTGGCAGTCAGTCTTTGGAAAGCGGTGTCTCCTGCCCTGCAAACCAGGGCTCCCTTGCCTCACACAGTCACATGCCTGCACCTGCCTAACCTTCAGTTTGTCCCTTGTCCTCTTTGGTTTCATATGTTCTTTGTAGTCTAAGCTCTTACCTGATGGGCTCTGAGAGTAAAGATTCAAAAGTAAAAGAAGTAAAGAACGCTTCAGGGGCAGGGTCTTCATCCTTGTTCCCACTCAGCCTCACTCTTGGTCACCAGTTACTGGACACCCTGTCACCCCCCTGAGCCCAGGCCACCCTCACCTCTGGGCTGAGCTGCTCTGGTAACCCCTGCCCAGCATTCTCCCTCCGTCTCATGCCCCACAGTCTAACCAGAAGGGGCTCTCCTGAGTCACCTTCCAGACCCTCCAAGTCCCAGGAACTGGACCATTTATTCTGCCCTCTCCCAAGGCCCACCAAGGGACCAGCCCAGTGCTCATTCCTGTTCCACTCTTACCACCCCTACTGCCAA